TTTTTTTCTTTGTTGGCCATCAACTGTACCTTTAGGGACCACTTAAATACTGGCAAAAACAGTTCACCAAATAAATTTTAGAGCAATTTTCTGTCACATTTGCTTTTCTGTAGTCTTTTTGAGAGCTTGAGTTACTGGTACTGTCGCTGATATATTCTTACACTGCAGTTTAAAGCCTACATGAGAAGTGTTCAGGGGCCTGAATGCACATCACCCGAAAAGACTCATCGTCCTGTAAACATGCTGCCACCTTTATTAAAGCTCCACACTGCCACCAACGGCAAAATAAACCTACTTTCTGCTCATCATTGCACTCTACAGCACCATCTAGTGCCCAGATTGATAAATTATGTTATTTTTGGACATGCCTTCGCATGATTTTCTTTGCCCAGACAATGGTTACTTTACCGTTTTACTTTTCTTTACTTCAGGTTTTTGGCGAGATCGCTCAAGCAGAAGTGGAACTGGAGTTTTATTGTTTAACTTCCTTTATCATAGTTGGGTTAGGACCCTTATGTCTGTACAAATGAAAGCATTTGCATTAAGAATTTTGTTTTGAAGCAATGTGTTGCTTTCGACAAAACCCTGTCTTCATATCCTCTGTTGCACCAAGCACCTAAACGTTATGGCCTCAGGATGGCGCAATTTCCCAGTCTCACTTTTCTGACGCACTTGTGGTTTTTCTCTTTTTATTTTTTTTTTGTTTGATTCTTACTCTCTATGTCAAAAGGTGAAAGGGCCTTTCACGTTAGTTTACGTACATGTAGACTTCAAGCTGCACAAAAACACCAGGACACCACCTTTGTCTTCTGTGTGCACAAGTGGAACAAAAGTGTAGTTGCCTGTAGAGGCCAGCTGTTTGATCCGTGTGCTGCTGGGACTACAAGAGATCCCCAAAGCAGCTGTAGGAGTGTTTTGGGGTTGTTGTTTTTTTTTTAGTCTAAACTGTCAAACAGCTGGACTTCACGTCATATTTAAAGTAAGACAAATTTAGGGTATCAAACCTCATTGTAGGGTGAACTTAGATCCTGAGCACCTGCATAAAGATAAATTTAAGTATGCCCGTCCCCGAATCATCGTCTTTCCACTGAATGTCTTTATTTTAATTTCAGCAAAGTGGGAAATGCACAAAATCCCCTTTGAATAAGCAGCTCTTAAATACATTAGCACTGCACATCCAACTTGTCTTTACTAAAATTGCAAATTTCATTTGCAAGAGTTTCTCCCCCCGTGGAGAAAAATCTGTTGAGTTTAAATAACGTTTATTCAAATTTTTAAACTTCTGTTTTTGTGTGACCTGGAAAAAAAAAAGTTTCCAAACACACAGCACTTCTTCATAATGATTCTGTTTTTGCATCCAGTTCTGTAGTAAAGGAAGATATCTGTCAGCACGACTGTTTGGCCTGTAAGAAGTAAATGTGTAAAATTTATCATTTAATTACTTTAGTATAAATGGCCGCTGGGGAGGATTTTATGTGTGGGGAAAAGCTGTGATTGGATAGGAATCTTCACCAGGATGATTTTTGGCCCCTGGGCCTTATGTTTGACACCCCTGCAATACACCATGCAAGTTAGATTGGCGTGCCAAGTACACTTTGATGTTGCATCTCTGTAATGGGTAACGTTCCTTCCCCCCCATTAAAGTCTTCACAACACAATAAGATCCTGCAAATACAATCCCGTCTCACAGATGATAAAAGTGAGAATCTGTCTGTCGTCTTTGATATCAGGCAGGTTTTTTTCAGTGTGGCTCAGTGTTCGGGTTAGTGAGTCTAGATTTCTGCTGCACATTCCCACTGTATCTTAGAGCATCTAAGTTGACCTGGTTCAGAATTGCAAATTAAATCCAATCAAACAACCCATCAGTTTTAACATCCCTAATCCAAAAGATTATTTTTAACAGCTCCTGATACACTAATCCTGTTCTCAGAGGTCGAGGCTCATTTCAAATATTTAAAGCACTGTTTCAGAATTCATTTCTGTGTTGCTCATGTGTTGTAATCACTTGTTCATTTTACTGTAACTCTATATTTCTACTTTGATTTACCAAGATGTGTTTTTTACTTAGTCTTTTTTTGCAATCATGTCACTGCTGAGCACCTTTCAAAGAACTATTTTTTAAAGTTATTTTATTATTTTTTTTCAAAGAACCATATGTTCAAAACATGTTTATGATAAAAGCCGAGAGCTTGTGACACTGGAAGTTGACACACACATGAGAAGTGTGGCAGGAAATGTGATCTTAGACACTCGTGTTGACAAAGAATGTGATGAGCTGGGAACTTCCTCAGTGTTTCATCAGAAGTGTAGTAGCGTCGTGTGATTTGTCATATTTTAGATTTGTACCGACAGAAGCCGACATGAGGATTTCAACCTGTTACATCAATAAATTTTGAACATATCGACTAATTAAAAAAAAATTTGAACACATACAAAATCATTTGTATAGGATTCTAAACTGAGTCGGAAAAGGTGGAGCAATGTTGTAGTGTGTTTTGCTTCATTTTGTATTTTACCCCTCGGCCTGAAAGGCTATTGTCAAGTTTACTGGAAATCTTTTGAACACAACAGCTCTAGAAGCAGGCCACGTAGGATTTTCTTAAGCCACACCATTGGTTTATTTACAAAGAAGGATCTCTTATCAGCCTCACATGCTGACAGCTTCACTGCATCTACTGACAATCTCTTTTGGGAATCTGGCAACCCTGATACAACTCATGTATAACCTGTAGCTATACCAGCATCACTGTGCACTCAGGTGCACGACATTCAAGGCTTTTCTCCAATCTGCATTCACTGAATTATCATCATGACGGTAACCCTTCTGCTGTCAGATTGCTGTAACTGTTCGTATTTTCAGGCCAGGGCACAGGTTGATGGTTGCGGTAAAAGATGATCTGGCAACTCCTAAAGATCCTACTGTCGACAGGCTGAACGGTACCCCAGGCTTTTTTCCCTTATTTTCCCATTTTTTCTGTATACGGCTTACACGATCGCGATGCATGGAACAAAACAAAACAAACAGTGTTTTTTTATTTCACAGATTTCACAGACCACATCAACTAGTGGTTTCTGTTTCAATTTTGCCTCCAGTGTGACAGTAATCCCATGACACAGTGATTCACATCATGGGCCTGGGTTTGTTTTGGGGGAAGCACTGTGGTTTAGCAACAACAACAAAAAAAGACTATTAAAAATACTCTGTAATGATGTATTAAAAAGAAAAAACAACAACACATGAAGCTGTAAAAAGAAATAAATGACAGTGACGTTGTGCTATATGCTTGCAGCTATGTGTAAATGTAAATGGGACTGGAAACAGACTTCCTTCATGTTTGGATTCTTGAGCAAATCAAAGTCTGTGTGTGTGACGCAAACAGGAAAATGGACCTGGTGGGAGGGGTCTAGAGGGATACATCATTTAGGAGACAAATGCCTTCGTGTGACACATTCAGTGCGTCCCGCTGAGAAGACATCACAATGACTGGTGAGTTTTTTCATCCTCCTTTCATCAACTTAAATCTGTTTGGGAAAAGTCTTTGTAATAATTTAATGCTTTCTTTTCTTTTTTTTCTTTTTTGTCCTCAGAACCAAACGCATCATTGTCCTGGGAGGATTTTGGTGCCATTTACGATGCTCTGAACTTTAGCTATAATTACACAGACTTTTTACTTGACCCCGCTACCCAGCCCTGTAGCTTTCACACCATCTCAGACACTGTGATGATCGTTGTCAGTGTCTTTTATGTCCTCATCTTTGTGATGGCACTTCCCGGTAACGTGGTGGTGGGGCTGGTGATCAGCTTAAGCAAGCAACCTTTGACCCCTTCTGACCTCTACCTCCTCCACCTGGCGATCGCAGACCTCTTGCTCGCCATCACCCTCCCGTTCTGGGCCACCTCGGTTACTCGGGGCTGGGTATTTGGAGAAGCCATGTGCAAAATAGTCACTGTCCTCCAAGAGGTGAGCTTCTACTCAACCATTCTCTTCTTGACTTGCATCAGTGTGGACCGGTACACTGTGATTGTGCGCGCCATGGAGGTTCGTAGGACTAATCGACAGCTGGTCAGCTGGGGAGTTTGTGCCGCCGTCTGGATTGTCGGAGCGCTTCTGTCCCTCCCGGGCTTGTTCAGCTCCACTTTCACCTCTTACAACTCTAGTCACGTACTGTGCACTGAAAAATACGATCCCAGCACTGCTGATGAGTGGCGACTGGCCACCAGAATTCTCCGCCACACTTTGGGTTTTTTCATCCCCCTGGCCATCATGCTGCCTTGCTACGGAATCACCATCCATCGCCTCCTTCACATCCGTGGGGGGTTTCAACGCCAGCGAGCCATGAAAGTTATCATATTCGTGGTCCTCGCTTTCCTGCTTTGTTGGACGCCGTACCACCTAGTAGTGATAGTGGACACATTTTTCAGGGCAAAGATAGTAGAGTATCAGTGCCCAGCGAGGACAGCAGTGGATCAGGCCATGTTTGTCACCCAGAGTCTGGCCCTGCTTCACAGCTGTTTAAACCCAGTGCTGTACGCTTTCCTGGGAGAGAAATTTAGAAGGAGGCTACGGCAGTTAATGGCAAAGATGGGAATCATTGAAAGATCGTCAACATCAAGAAGCAGCAGATTTTCGCTGTCATCGGAGCTCACGCCTACAATCATGTGAGAACATCAGAGACACTTGAAACTACTCAGATCAGCTGATCAGAGAGATTTAATGTGGGGATTAAAGTGTGGAAACCTGCTAGTTTTGATAATCCTCATATTTGTACTGCAGCTAATATTTGTCAAAGAAAGACTTCAAAATATTTTTAAATAATTTGTGTAATAATATTATTAGTGTACATACTTTTTAAGACTTTAGATTCTATTTTATTATTATTTAACTTTGATTTGCTGCACACATTTTTTTGTTTTTCTTTGAGGTTTGTTAAATTCGCCCCGTCATCTTCAATGACGATTCTGAAGAAAGAGAAAATAAAAAATGTCGCGTTTCAACACGACATCGCAGCATTACAACATTAACACTGAGCCCTTGCCAGTGAACTCTGAGTTGCAACATTTCGGCGGTAGATTGTGAAGCATCAGTTCATCAATTACATAACATTGAGTTATTTTTATAGAAATGCATTCACATTTTTGTATCTGTATATGGTTGCCATCAACGTCTGTATATATGAGAAATGAATAAAACCATCCACTTTGCTCCTTTGTTTGTGATTGATATGACACCGCAGAGTCATTGGAGGTTTACGTGTTCATTGATCAGCTGAGACACCACAGTCAAATGATGGGAAACCCCCCCCCCCTCCACAAGCTTCCCACCATTGGGTTAATGGTGTGAACTTTGCTTCTATAGGGGAGACAAAGCAGAAGTTTTGATGACTGCAGCCACAGAAATGCAGCCATATTTGAGATCGGAGGAGCGATATCTACTCCCTCTTGATTACAAAATGATCAAAAACATCTAATTTACTTGATAACTGACAAGCATGTTGGTTCAATACTGGCACTGGCTGTTGATTTTGCAGAAATAGTGCCAGTTTGGATGATCCACAGAAACTCTTATTTTGCCGGGAAGAACTTGCAGGTGTGCAACTAACCAACTGCTACTGCTGAACTTGTGTCTAACTTTAAATAGTTTTCACAAATCCAGGATGCAAAAGTTATGAAAGTGGATTTTCAAACTTTTTAATCTAACATTTACAGCCCAAAACGTTGCTTTCTTGGGTTTTGTCCTTTTCCTTTTTTCCTACCAGGTGTAAGAGGTTAATTAAAAGGTTCATGTTTTTCTCACTGCCCAGGTCTTACAAGCTTTGTCCTTTTTTTACAACAAAACTGCTCCATGTATGTCAGGCTTTTTTGTTTTCATTGCAGCTGAAGTTTGCAGCTTCTTTCAGCATTCGTGTATATTGTAAATCAGAATCAGAGACTTTATTAATCCCGGAGGAAAACTGAGTTGTCATAGCAGCAAATATATCTCAAACATCAGGCACTCGTATAAAATGAGTGTAAAACAGAGATATTGATAGATAAATATTAAGATAAAGAGCTAAAGATAGAGATATAGGTATAAATATAAATATACATATAAATATAAATGGACAAGTACATGTGCAAAGCTAGCATGCTAGCACTAAATGTGTAGCAATACTGGGAGACTGCAGGTTTTTTGAGCTGTTTTGGGCACGGTTTGTGATAAAAGTACAATTATATACACGATTATACAACTTAAATTTGGGTTTGTTGATGGAAAGCCACTTCCAGATTCAATTTTTTTTGTGTCAGTTTTATAAGGTTTAACTTTATTTCCTTGTCTATAGAGTGTTGGACATCAGAGTCATAAGTCTCTCATGTTAAACCTTATTAAGTAAACCATTTGTTTGATAAACATCGAACATTAGTAAATAAAATAAAGAAACAAACAAAACAATAAATTCTTTAGGCCCCCTTTGTTTTACAAGAAAAACCCCCCCGCGTGCACGCGCGCACGCACACGCACACATCCTCCAACCACACACACCCATATTTTGCTCCATCGTGGCTTATTTCACAACTCAAACATTTAGTAAACAATTAAGCAAATACAAGTAATCTGCAATAAATTACAGGTAGTAAGAAAATAAACTACTAACTCTTTTACGCTACGTCCACATTTACACGGCTATTTTTGAAAACGCAGCTGTTTCGTTCACACGTGAACAGCGTTTTGAATCACCGAAAACGGAGATCTTTTTAAAACTCCTTTTTTGCGTGTACATGTGAACAAGGAATACAGAGTTCGCCAGGCAACGTCAAAGGTATGTGCCCTTTTTCACGTCACGCTGTGCACCACGTTTTTGTTTACATGAGATGAATCGCAGAATGGCAGATAGAGACAAAATACCGTTTCTGTTAATCTGACTATCTTCAGGTTTTACAGCTTACATACAAACAGGCAGCTACTGTCCCTCCATTTACAAAGGCAGAGGCGTCACAGTGTGATTATGTTTGTGTAGTTGTTTTTTTCCCTGTTTAATAATATTCAACATTGCTATCAAATCAAAAAACGCCTCTCTGTGCAAAATGGGTTTAAAAACAAACAACTGTGGGATACTGTTTGTCTGTGATTTGAACCGGGGGACAAATCGTGGCAGGATCAGCCTGATGTTATTTGTATCCCGCTGTAACTTTACTGTTTAAAGCGCTAACATCTCCAAAATGTCAGGAGTAGTTAGTCATTACAACAAGTGTTTGTGAACTAAAAATCAAGAATGTGGGATACTGTTGCCATGGCTCTGCGCCCCCCCCCCCAGGGGGCGGGCCCCACACTTTGGGAAGGTCTGCTTTAGGGCATGTCGACATTTCCAAGGCAAACTTACGACGCTGAAAATGCAAATGCAACTTCAGGCTTGATAATTAGAGCTCGACTGATAAAGACTTTTTAAGATGCTGATATTAAATTGATATTTAAAAGTCCAATATCCTGGGAAATATCAGCTGATAGTTGTTAAGTCCATGATTCAGACACATCAATCATGAACAGATGTCTCATTTGTTTCGTGTAGTTACTTGTTTCCACAGTGCGTGTCAGGTACTTCAAACATGTGTATTGCCAGCAGGGAAGTTCCAGAGGGCCCACTGGTGGGCAAACTTTGTACCATCAACACTTATAACACTCAATATCAGTCATAAATTACAGATGGCAAACTGAATGTAATGACTAATAGAAAAATAAGACCAGCCACTAAAGGATTTTTAAGAACAACACCGATAGAAGTATTTGGTGATTTAAAAAAACAGATATTCTGATAAACCCACAGATATTTTTTCTTTTGACCTAACATTTGTGACCGTAATAAATTGACTTGTTTAAGGTCTACCTTAACTAGATGTTGCAAAGTCCTGTGCGTTGGAAGTGCCAACTGGAGGGCAAGCTATGCAACATTAACACTCACCTTAATATTTTTTTAATATATGATCTATGGTTTCTGAAAACAATGTGCACAGTTTTGCTACGTTTTTTTTTTTTTGGGGGGATTATGCGACATACTAGCCAACATCAGCCAACAGGTTAGCACCTCTGACGCCACCTCAGCTACCTTTGCTACTAAATACTTAAGGATTCCTAAAATATTTGTTTCATTGGTCCAACTTTTGCCTCACATAATTATTCCAATGATAAATTTGTTTTGAATGATACACATGAAATTTGACACCTTAAACATAATGGGGGGGGGGGCAATGTCAGACTCTGTGACTTAGAAATTGAACATATGCCCCATGCAGACCCTCTGGTGTACCAAGTGTTGCGCCACCTCACATGTTCTACTGACCTCAGGTTGGCTAAAAATTACAAGGGGGCGGGAGCCCAGCAGTGAGTGGTCAGATGGTTCAGCATGCAGCTGTCGTTCTAAGACTTGCTGGGCTGTGACTGTCATTTCCCCTGACTGGTAGAGCTAAGGGGGAGATCATGAGTGGGGCGGTTTAACTCATGGGATAAGGTGGGAGGGGGGGGGGGGCACTGTGCGACTCACCAGAGAGGACTTGATGCTTCCATTCAACCAGAAGCCAACCAAGAAACACTCTCAAGGCCACCAGGAATAAAGAGGAATCTCACTGAAGACTTTCACACAATGCTGAGTGAATGCGTTACACACTTCTGGGAACTGGTTACAAAAGTTTGAAAAGTCAGAGAAGACCACGAAAAGAAGGGGGAGAAGCAACCGTCACTTCTAACAGACAAGTCCAGGGAGCCGTTAATGCAACATGATCCAGTAGGTCTTGCCCTAAAAATACCTTCAGGCAGGAGAGCGGCAGCTATCTCTATCTGCTTAATTACCTGGTGATCAACAATTTCGTTTTCTTCTTCAAACAACAGCTGCGGTTAGAGAACAGCAATTCAAGGAGCACTTAATCTTATTGACGTGTTTCTAAAGTAAAAGTAAAATGAATTTATCTCTCCAATGTTCAAAAACATGAACGCCATGTTAGCTGTAATGTATGTGTGTATGTGTGTAACCTGTAGCCTCTAATGCCCTTTTAAGGCATGACTACGGCTTGCTAAGACAAGGCCCAGGTAGTGATATAATCATAAAGTCCAGGTAGACAGTTTTAGCCATGAGAAAAGCTGAGGTGCAAATGACCCTGAAAAAAGGGGCAGATGAAGCAGGGGCACCACCAAGTCCCATCATCCCCCCAAAACGGTCCAAAGCGAGCCCAGACCAAGTTGTCCCGGAACCTCAAGGACCTGGTTACCACACCCCAACCCCACCGGTTTTTACACGGAAAATGAGGAACGCTGCCGTGGGGACAGGCTGTGACATCCGTCTGAAGGTGACTGTGGCTGGAGATCCACAGCCTTCCCTGTATTGGTACCATAACGATGAACTCCTCAACATGGAGAACCAAGAGTACGGAGGGCTATGGATTAGGGATTGCAAACCGAGTGATGCTGGTCTCTACACCTGCATTGCCAACAATCACCTGGGAGAGGCTCGGAGCAGCGCTGTGCTTGCTGTACTGGATCTGGGTGAAGGTAATATCCATCTGTCTAAAGGTTTACTTCAGACTGAATAGCTTTTTCTGGATTCACTTTGCAGGTTTTGACATGTGAAAATCCACTAAAACATATTTTATACCACACTTTTCCAAAAGTACCCTTCAAATTAATTGGAAAAAACCCTCCAGTTTCCCCTTAAAAGTCCACTATGGTGCTTGATTGGTTCCTGAGCCTTTAGAATATCAGTAATCTCTATAAACAAGCATCTGCAAATGAATATGCAGAATATGAAAGCAAAGGACAAGGTTTTCATGACAAGAAGCTTTCATGATTTCCATTTGCAGTCTGATTATAGACCATCTTCCTCTGACCAGTCTGCAGCTAAACAGCGCACATGGAGAGCAAAATAGCAACTGCATTTGCTAAAAATCAATCTCAAATGTGTCCATGCAGCTTTTAAAAATGTAGCTGCACGTATTGATGCACGACTGATGGCAGAAGCAAATGTCTGAAAGTTATTTTTAATGGAAGCCAACAAATCTAGCTACAAACTTGTTGCTACGTGCTGCCCGTGACAAGTCAAAGCTTCAACAATTTTTCAATGCTGGTGGTGAAGTGTCAGTCATCGTATACATCCATGTTTTGCACATGTACACAAGGACAGGGATGACGTGCTAGAGCAGCCGCTGATCCGTCTGTGAATCTATTCCACCAGGGTTGGAGTTGCAGTTAATATTCCAAAAAGGATGCAAGTTGCTCCATGGGCTTCATTGTCACAAGATCATTATTATAGCTCACCGTTCCTTTCAATGTTAAATCAGTTTATATCATTATCATTTCACTCAAGGTCAGTGCATGGCACTGTGATCGAAGCTGAGATTGAGGCAAAACACCTAAAATATAATCGCAAAATCAGATAATAAAGAATAAACTTATACGCACAAACAGCCAAATGCGGTGTGTGCTTGCAAAGCATATTGTTTTTCTTCGATGTTCTGTCCTGCTGAAGCGTGCAGTAAGATACAAGTATAGTCTCCCTGTGTGGTGCATTGTTGTTTGAGAAAAGCATGTAGTGGAAAAGCTGGATTTCCACCATGCATTCTGAAAATAAACCACCCTTAAGCCAGCCGCTGCTTTTGACCGATTTAGCTGAGGTGAGTCCCTGAGAATGCATTACAGTTAGATTCCTCAATGTCTAACTGGAGACGCTCCGGAGGCCGGTGCAATGCATTCTTATCAACAAAAACCTCTTCTCATGCTTCTTGTCATCCCCGTCACTGATCTAAATTCAGCTCACCTGAGTGCTTTGACCACCTCAGCTGCTTTGAAAAATGGCATTAGCGGCTCCTCAAATTTGCCCTTCATATATCAGCCCCAGCATTTGTCATTGTTCTGCAGTGCTCAGCGCCAGTGTGTAGGGAAACTCTTGCTTAAGTTTCTAACTGCCCTTTCCTGCTGTTAGAATATATTACATGTGGCATGCATTTACGTGGATACACTGTACTCACTCAAACATCACTAAAGTTTGGAAGATTGAAAGTGTTTTCTGGTGGGAAAAGGGACTGGGTCCTTATATAACAGTTTTTCCTCGTATCAAAGAACAAGAGAGATTGTGCAAGCCTAGGACAAAAAAATGGGTTCTAAAAGAGTGGTGAAGTCTGCAAACTGGACAGCTGATCACAAGAATTGTTTGTAGTGTAGGCAGCAAAAAAATACTGCAGCGTATAACATTTCCTTTCCTACATAAATATTGAATGCTTGGACACTGTCCACAAAAAGATACACAAAATTGCGCAACAGGATCTCACAACCCGGCTGTTAAACTAAACAAGTCTTGGTTGAGTCTCAATTTCTGTTTGATTGTTGGAAAAAATATAATTGGCCTTTCGTTTTCAAAATCCAGAAACCGCACATTAATCTGCAACATCATACGATATATCGCAGAAAAAACAAACCAGTGTCACCACCTCATTAACAAACTGTATGTATCAGAGAAACCAACACATTTAGAGATAAATAATGACCATAATGCAGAAGTCCTATTACATCCCTATCACATGATACAGTATGACAATGTTTACAGCAATCACATTGCAAAAAATGTGCTTTCATGTAAGCAGGCAACACAATATTCACATGAATGTTCATGTTTCATGTGATCAGTTTATCAATTGTGGAACCGTTAGCTGGACGAGAGCTTTGTCAGCATTTACAGCCTGTGAGGACTAAACAAGTCCTGTGCTGCTGGGCTTTTTATGCTGGGAAGTTTTCATTTGTCGCTCCATTTTAACCTTCACTTTGATTCAGCTCTCTTCTTCTCTACCATGTTCGTAGTCTACAGCTGTCCCATCACTCAATGATCCGGCCTGAACCTTTTCCCTCTCTCTTTCTCTCCCTCTCCCACCTCTTCCTCCGTCTTTGAAAATGTCTCTCTGTCCCGCCCCCCTTGTCCACCAACTCTCCCTAGTTATTTATACAGTGGAATGTGCCAGGCCTTAGATTTTTCTGATGTTAGCAGGCCAGCGTCTCTCCTGTTACACAGGAAGACATCACTGCTAATTTTAGCCCAGCCCTGCATGACCCACCAACACACGCACACTGATCAGGAAAAGGTACGCGTTTGAATCCACATCATCTAAATATACAACCAAAAAACTGTCTGCCACATGCTGAATGATGTCATGCCTTTTTCCTTATTTAGTTTTTGCCTTTAATTAGGCAGTTGATTTATTGTATTTATTCAGTAGCTGCATATTTACACATCCAGACACGGGGCCACAATAGCATTGATTCGTGTATTTCTGGCCACCTGCTATTAAGCTCCTATTAGCTTAGTCATTGCCATCTCCAGTGTGAAACATCTGACTCTTAGCTGCTAACTTAGTCTGTCATTTGGTGCCAGGCAGGTCGTATCAAAGCTTTTTGGTTCTTTACACCTTTGCTATGAAACCAAACAATAAGCTGAAAGATGCTCGAAATATTTGCAGCGTTCTTTATTTTCTATTTTTGCTATTTTATACACAACACACATCTATTATCACCTTTTATGACAGTAAAGCAGCCAAACATTTGCTCTTTGACACATCCAGCAGATACAGAACATTAGCTTTCATTTTGATTTATGTCTCAGGAAGCAGGAAAAACACTAAAAACATAAGGTGAGTGAATCACTTTGGTCACTGGCTGATAGTGATTTGATTTAGAAAGGTGTAGTGCCTGTCTGAAGCTTAAATGATACTGCTTGGCACTGCCTACATCTGGGAACATTAGCTGTCGCCACAGAGTGTGACGGTGGCCTTTTTCCAGTATGTTTGGATAGTTTCCTCACCGTGTTGTCTTCCTCCTGGACCTTGAATGTGAGTGAACAGGTGGAGCCACAGTTACACTGTGGAAATCCCCTACAGCGCCGTGTTGCTTCATAAGTACATCAACAAATTATTGTGTTTTTCAATGGACAGAAGGGCAGGTAAGGGGTTTATATGAGCTGTAAATGGTTTAGAATATTGGAGTCTGTTTGGTCAGAGTTTTTGAGTGTGTCAGTGATGTCTTGTTTCCATCCAGCTCATAAGAAATACAGAAGGGCATCATGAGACGTAAATATGCACAAATGCTGATTTTTGTCCCAGGTCTTTAATTATTAAGGGTCACAGAGACTAGTGACGATCTTCTAAAGTGTGTTCCGAAAATGATCTCACTCATAACTATTCTGTCTGATAAAAAGGCTTTTACCAAATATTAATTGCAGTTTACTCATTTTATACACAGTCCAAGTATAAGCAGTATTAACATGAACAATATGGTCACAAGTAAATATCAAATTAAAACATCCTGAAGGTCAATTTTTGTAGTTTAAATTTTCTATACATGTGCAAATTGAAGTTAATGGAAACAAAGAATTAAAGCTTTAAACATAAACAAATAGCTAGTTCTCTGGATTTCACTGCAATGTGCAAAAATATACTAGAGTCCATAGTGCACCCTTTAAAGATTTTTCAAGAGTCAAAAACCAAACACAGCTACAAACCATAATTCAGTGAATACATAATCCAAACTATGAAATATAATGAAACTGTGATTTCCATGTTTGAACAGAAGAAGGTGAAGTGATGGATAAGCAAAAGAACTTAGCAACCATTAGGAATCCACACATTATGAAAAGAGCTTAAATAAACTGGTTACTAACGGTGCTGGTCACATGGCCTTGGATATGTACTGGTGACAGTTTTCTAAATCTGAATTCCAGATGACAAACTGAATATAATGACTAAGAGTAAAGACCAACCAGTACAGGATCTTTAAGACCAATACTGATACCAATATTTGATTATTTAAAAACCCCAAAACTGATACGTTATCCAATATTTTTTCTTTTATAAACATAAACATAAACAGATGTTGTGTGTTCTTCTGCACGTTGGTTATGAAAAGATGTTTTCTGCCTCAGAGCCTCCTTCTCATCAGCTCAAAACAGTCCGGCTGTTTTTCTCTGGCCTCTGGCATCAACAGGGTACTTTGCCCAGAGATCTGCCTCTTACTGGATATCTGCTCTCTGTGAATGCCAGACGTGGTTACATGGGGGAAAATTAAACAACCGTGCCATCTTCAGTCACTTAAATAACCTTTTACCCCATCCTGATGTACAGTTTGAACTTCAGTAAGCACTGAGTTGCTGCCATGTGATTGGCTGATTAGATATTTGCGTTAACAAACACGTGAACATGTGTTGCTAACAAAGTGACTTGTGACTGTACATTTACATAACTATTCTAGAATGAGCTGCAAAGCGGCCCATGATTTCATGTCATTAGAGCGTGAGGTTAACGTCGAAGTCACACATGATATTCAGCTGCCAAGGAAACGAAAAGGCCTGAGGTTACATAATCAACAGACCATGTAATTAAGCCCGAAAGGTGGCTCCAATAATGAAAGTGCTCACTACATTTGCTTTGCATTTGTGATCTGCAATCATTAGTAATTATATGAACTATTATCTTAGTAATATAGACTTTATTCTGCACTCTCACACTGTCATTTTGCTGAGAGTACTGTGTAATCATGTGTGAACTGAAATGTTATTTTAAGCATGTTTCTGTGTACTGATTTATTCTACTGTGCAAGCTGGTATTGTTTCAATTGATTCAAACTGTACTAAAATAGAATATTAACTGCAATTACTACGTCAAAACAATAAAGTATTATGAGCAGTTGAAATTGTCATGTGGAAAAACAACAATCTCTAGCAGTGAGCAAAGCTTGTGCAGTCAGTTAAAGCAGCCAGTAGGCTAACACATTTTCTGTGAGCTCGAACAGTGCTCCAGCAATGCAGAGGAGTGAGGAGGTCCCTTTTAGCTGTTGCGGCGATTCTCCCCCTCTCTTCCAACAACACAACATCGGCTCATTATACCCGTTGATGAAAAAGACACAGACACATGGGGAGGAAGGGAAACATGAAAAATGTCAACCAGTGCTGTAGAACACTGATCTCAAGAGGGCTGGATCACTCCCACTGGTTTTTCTGCCTATCGGTGTGCACTGCCTGTGGGGTGGAACGCAGCGGGGGAAGATGCTTACGCTGTCGCTGGCTATTGTTTGGACAGGGGGGCTCCCTCAGAGTGCATGATATGCATTCAACAGACATTTCCACCTGCGGACGGAGGTCTCTGCTCTGTGCTTTTCAGAAACGGATTCTCTCACAAGAGCTGCTGAGACTCTGACTTGTTACGTAATGGACCAAAGTGCCTTTTCTTTTCATTTTTCTTTCCGTTTTAGTGAGGAGCTTTTGTCTGCATGTTAGGAGAGTTACAATATGTAATAAGTTCAGTCTTTTTTTTTTATAGAAATTGCTCATGTTTTCTTAGAAAATTTGCTCAGTTAGGCGTGTAGTAATGGCTCGGAGCCCCCAGTGTATCTTGGGGAATACCCTGCTACTGTGTGTAAGCCAAGACAAAAAATACCTGTCGAGGACATACCAGCAGTGGCTATGAAAAAACATTCAGACCAAAGAACAAAACAGGCAAGTGCTATTTCAATTTATCTTTCTCTTCTTCCTGCAGTGATTTAACCTTCATCTGTGAATAGAGCATTAAAGCGCCGTAAAATATTTCATTTAAAATGCTGACACCAACATTTTATAAATATTACTGTTGAACTGACCACACTGTTGTTTCAGCTGACAGTGGCAGAGGCAATGGTGCTGCTTAACAGAGCTCACTCTGCAAGTCCTTAATTGAGAAGGAGCAGTGTTACTGTGAGCTATAACCAACTAGAAACTCAGTCAACCTCAAAGCTCTTCCGTAGCTTTGAACTTCAGAAAACTACAGGAGAGTCTCACTAAAAGTTTCACTAAAATTCTTCCATGCAGTACTGCGATGTTGAGAGGAAACTTCCAGAACTACTTGTTATACTTAAGGGCTCTTTGGTGTTATTTGGTGTGCACTTTTATGTCTATTTGTGCACCAGCAAACCGGTAGCAACTGTAACCCAGATGTAGGGGTGGCCATTAGGGGGCCACTACAAATATTGGGGTGGCACACCAAAAACAGAACAATGCAGGGGCGCAGCGGAGGGGAGGGGGTGACGATGTGAAATAATGAGACATACGAAGTGACACAATACGAATGACAAACATCATATATGCAGGAAGAAATAACAAGTTTGTTTCAACTCATTGTAGGGTGTCTTCCTCTCTCTTGCGTGCACGTTTATTTAAACTATTACCAACATAGGGTCTTGCCGAAAAAGGGGCAGTGGAAGGGCCAGCAGTTTTTTGGGGATGCCTGCTGGCCCCCCTGGCCCCCCTTGGTGACACCCCTGCCCAGACAATCATTTATATTCTACCTCCTCTAACAGATTTCACAGTGACACTAAAAATATTCTTGACAATTATTAAATTGGATTTTGGAAACTGTAAGTTAAGCTCTGGTTTTTTTTCTGAGTGACAGGCTCATGTACTGTACTGTTCTGAGACTACAGCATGATTGATAATACCCTGTGCAGTCAGTCACAGTGTTATTAACTGTCAGTTACTAAAAGAGTTATAAAATCACTGTCAGCAGGGATTTAATATTGTCTGCTTCTCATGTGCAACCAATCAGGGACTTCCTCGGCTTATTCATTTGTCTATCATCTAACTTAGGTTCACAGTTGATATTGGGTAAGAGGCACAGAGGAGAGGTTGCTAGTCCACCGCAGAGCCAACATAGAAAGACATCACTGCTCCACCTTGACTTCAAACAAGATATTATGACATGCTAATTTTATACTACAAGCTAGTTTTATAAGGAATGCAAAAAAATGATACTGGAGTATATTTTCGTAATAAAAATATCCCGATTATAATTCACATTCATTCAGTTATATTTAATTAAAACATAAGTGACTTACTGGAGTCACTGCATAATGACTCTTCATGGCATGGTGGCACTTATCAAATGAACGAGGCGAATTGAAAAGAAGTTAATTAACTTGGGATGAAGAAGAAGAAGCACAGAAAAGTGAATCTGAGACCTCATTGAACTGTCCCAAGATTAAGACTGAATGATAATGGTACAACACATACACTGATACCATAAAATGGGTAAATATCATTTCTGTGTTTTGTCATTTTGGGGTATATTTTATGGATAAGTGGAAGAGGATGGGTGGATAGAGGGATGGTATATTTTAGTGTTGTGAAGAATGATTATTGCCTTGCAATATATCAAAGAGGACAGGTGCTGAAGTTGTATTTCTCAACTTTGAGGTGAGCGATTAAAGTGTCAAAGAGAAGGATAGCATTGCTTAATATAATGACAGAGTACAAATACATTAATGTTACCTGAGCTCCTCAAACCTGGAATGTCTACAAAGGACCAAAGTCATAGTCGATGAATTGTTATTGAAATTAATACAGGAAAAAAATGTAATACTTACATTTTCAGTAGAGCTTCTCCAAAGGATACAGGAACATGTATTTCACATAAAAGGAAGTCCATATTTGCACCCTGTTATTATGTTTCCCTAGACCTAACAAACCATATAGTTTTATTTATTTATTTATTCAAGCCTAAACAAGCATCGCATGAGAAAGTTAGTTGACGTAAAGGGCACAGCAATAAATTTTCAATTATTTAATGTATGTTTGTGTAAATTTTCAGTAGTTTAGTCTTGGACAAAATCAGCGGATTCGAATGACTGCTTTGGAAAAATAATGTGTCACACTGAGAAATATGATGTTATACTGTGTAATAATACTCCGTACAATGTTGTGTCTGTGTGAAAGTGTTTTACTTTGAAATGTAAAATTATGTTATGTGATATTAATATTGCATGAATGTGCAGTGTAGCTAAATACAGATTAAATAGCTGTGAGTAGGACTCTAAGCTTTTCTGTGTAGTTTATAGCTGACTTTTTTCTGTCTGCTGATTTCAAACAAGCCTGTTTTTGAAAACATTTTTCCACCATTTCCATTGTGGCCAGCGTTACCCTGTTGTGTTCTTTTACTGCAAGAGAACAAGAGATAGCTTCTGTTATTTATTTATTTCATTTTTTTTTATAAGTGGTTCCACCTACTGTGAAGCAAACACCTCATGAGAGCTGCTGGGATGCCAGTGACTCAATACTGCTTTCTATTTTGAGTCCTACCAATGACTGAATTTTCTCTCAGCCTGTGAAGAACAGTCATATTTATCAGATAGTACAGCTGGAACAGTTTTTTAGGTTTAAAGAGGATACATTTCTGCTGAAAATATGAACACACTTGTAGTTATTTTCTTCTTGTATTCCCTTCCTTGAAATAAATTTGCTGATGTCGTTGAAGTAATTATGGGTGACAAGACTCAGCAACAATTCAGCTGTAACAAATTTAGTATATTCAGCTTAGCTGTGCTAATGAGACCCTGGGGGCGTCAACTCATCAAGTAGAACAACTACATATATTATGAAATTCAGTTAAGTGCCAAAGAAAATTTCAGTGGCATTACATAATTTCCTTTGGTATAAAGAAAGTATTCTGATTCAGATTGTTAGTCCCCCCACTTCACCCCCAAAAGGGGGTCAGGAAAATCACTTCAGTTTCTTTCACCAAGCATCTCCATAAAGTGAACTGAACATGATAAGGTGACGATATCCTGTCCACTGTCTGTTACATCTTTTTTTCCACTGCAGAAAGACAGTTTTCCATTGTTGCCAAACAACATCACAGATGGTGCCATGCTTCATTTAGTAAATAGTTTTAGATTGTCCTTACTTTTATTTTCTGCTTTTTTTTTTACAAGTATGCTTTCAAATGCACTTTTATTTTCTCACCAAATAATGTTCTTCACAAACTGGTCTAGTTGAAATGTGATTACATCACAAGTAATTTTCCATTTTTCCCATTTATTTTGTTTTATTTATTTCAGATTCTGAAACAACAGAAGATGAAGGTGGAGACCAATATGAGACCAAAGAAGATAGCGGGGATGTTGAGGACCAGGCTGTGCCTGCAGGTATGAACTGTTTCTGATTTCAGTCATTAATTTGCATCAGTGCTTACAGGATGGTACTGAGAATGGAGCTGAAGGCAATCACACAGTTTTCATTTCTATTGAAATATATATATTTGTATATATATATATTAGTGTACATTTTGTGTTGGAGGTATTGGCCAGCATCTTTCTGTCCTTCACTCTTTTGCTCTCCTTGTATGTCTGATCAGGGAAATAACTGTCTTTTTAGAACCTCAGTTCTCCACAGTGGTTACCAGCAGTGTTCTGTACAGATGGCAGAGCCTGCAGTGATACAGCAAGTCACTTCATCCAGTGTTTACATAGAAATATTATTTGGTGGAGATTTGAACATGAATTCCTGACCTAGAATTATTGCCATACAAATGTGTTAATGCATCTCTTCTTTCACACGAGACACAGTGATGGAAAAATGTGCCGAGGATGTCAGTAAAACACATGGACATGAAGATCACTCTAACAGGCAAGTACAAAACATACAGCATTGATGGTAACCCCAACAATTACAGTAAAAAGAACTTTGTGTGTTAACTATACTACTGGACTTGAATTCAGTGCTAAAACACAATAATGAGTAAGGTTGTAAATTAGCAACAGCTTCCTAATTTTAACAGATTTTTCCTCACATCCTCTATTTCAGGAGCCAGCCTGAGGATTTTTCAAGAGAATCTCCCACACAAGTTCTCCCACCCCCATCTCCAAGACTGGTCAAACGCACCTCCACCTCTCCAATGCCAAGTCGCTCTGGTTCAACTACTCCTCTTAGCTTGCGGAAGAAAATCGTTGTGCCAACTGAATACCAAGACACCGTGCCCGGGGAGTTTGAAGAAAAGGTTAAGCAGCCAAAATCTGTGTCCCAAAGTAACACCCAAGATTCCCGACCACAGACTCCACTGAGTGAATATTCCAAGAAAGAATTTACTCTTAGACCCTCTCCAAAGCTTACAAGGGCTAGTTCAAAGGTTTTTGAGAAGGTCCGTGACTTAGAGGAGCGGAGACGGAGTCTTGATATTCCAGAAGGTTCCATTTCGGGAAGATCCTGGGCAGGGTTCAATCGGGCTGGATCTGTGGATTCAGATGATGGAGGAAGCCGTTTGGGTATCTCTAGAGAAAGTTCAAGGGAAGATCTTAGGGAAGCTCTAAAAGAAGATGCTGCTGAACGAAGGTCTATGTTTAAACAGAGAGCAGCTTCGCTGGAAGAGAAACCTCGCTACTCTCAAAAAGTTCAGGACATTGAAAACAAGTTCACTGAGGAGCTCCAACGCATTAAAAAGCTTGTTGGTAAACCTCATCTGAAGAAATCGTTTTCAACCGAACAGCTAACCCTGAAGGTCAAGCAGCGCCAGCCTTTTAGGAAAATTGAACCTATTCCTCCTCAGGTCCTGCAAAAACTCCAAGAAAGGGAACGAGTCCAGTGGGCAAAAGAACAGAGAGAAAGGGAACTAAGTAAGCAACCGATGCAGCAACAGCAGCAAACACAACATGAGCAGAAATCTCAACCTCAAAAGACAGCAGACACTGGTTTAACAGCTGTACCAGTTAGTAGAGCTGGAGAAGTTGCAGGCACCCCAGAGTCAATGCAGTTATCTGACTTACCAGGACAACGATCGGTGAGAGAATTCAATAGAGTCAGTCCTGTTACAGAAATTATTCAACGATCATCATCACCAGCAATATATAATCAACACAGGGAAGATTCACCAAGCAGAAATGTTACAGAGATGACATTGCGCAAAGTTGAACGAAGGCCACCGAGTCCTCTTGTACAAAGGGTATCTCGAATGCAAGAATCCTCACACATCCAAGAGTCTCCTGTACAAACATCGCAAAAGGATGAGACTTCGGGGAGAAAGACACCAATAGAAGTTGCAGTAAGAAAAATTGAAAACAGACCTGAGAGTCCTCTGGTACAAAAAAGGCCCATCATTGTGCAAGATCTTGCCCCTTCAAAACCCCCAAGAATATCACCAAGCTCTCCAACAGAGGAGAAAATGAAAGTGGAACTTTCTAAACCAATCTCTAAGATTAAGGTACCTACAATTATTGTTGAAGATGAAAAAATGGAAGAGGATGTTCCTGTAAGCACAAGTGAGCCTAAACAGAAGCGTGCTGGTGCCAAAGAGGGACAACAGCAAAAGTCCAGAGGAAAGAACCGTCGTACACGACCCCTGTCTCCAGAGTTAGGTTAGATTTGTTCTGTTTCTTTTGTAAGCTTTTTTGTGGTAATGTCTAATAAAGTGACTTTCTCTGTCCTCTAGTGTAATTTTTCAATTTGAGCAAAGGAACAAAAATCACTTTAAGTTTGTCTCTTGTTAAAATGTGCAGATTCTTCAGATGATTCTTATGTGTCTGCCGGAGAAGACCCCATGGAGGCTCCTATGTTTGAGTTTCCCCTCCAGGATACTGTAGCATCTGCTGGTGCAGATGTACTGCTAAGAACTATAATTGCTGGAACCCCTAGCCCTGAAGGTAATTTGTTGTAATTTTTATTTCAACAGCAAAACCCTTAAAGGTAACTTTGAATCAGTTGATGGAGAGGTGGATTTATTTTGTTTTCTTCTCTGTTTAAGTCACCTGGACTAAAGACAACACTGAGGTCACTGGGATTGCAAATTATGCAGTCAAAGTGGAGGGTGAACGACATAGTCTTCTCATCAGATCAGCTAAAATAAGTGATGGGGGAAGATACTGTGTAACTGCTGTTAATCAGATGGGAAGAGCTTCAAGCAGTGCCACTCTTATAGTTAAAGCAGGTAAGTTTATGTTTTGGGACATGAGACCAAAAGCATCGCAAAGGCCTGTCTGACTGAGGCTTAAGGAACATCCATATCTATACATACATCCATAATCTCTTACCCAACGAAGCATGCAGCCTATCTAGGTGGACAATGAGCAAGTAGTGGGGTACACTCCGGACAGGTTGCCCGTCCATCACAGTGCTAACACTGACACAACTATTCATTCTCTCATTCACATTTAAAGCCAATTCAGAATCCCCTAATTAAACTAACATGCATTTCTTCGAACTGCAACAGGAAGCCAGAATATCTGGAGAAAACCAACACAGCTATTGGACGATTATACAAACTCCACACAGAAAGGCCACATCAGTTATTATATTAAACTTTTATTGTAGTCGCTCAGAAATTGAACAGGACATTTATCACTCCCCCTACACTAGTATAATATGCAGCCTAATCAAAAAAATGGTAAATGTACTAAGCAGTAATTTCCAGTTTACAGTATTCATTTTCAGAGGCCATTTTTGTCGTCTTAAAAATCATCTCGTAGTCTCTTCCCACGTTGGCATTGTATTTCTCTCCTGGCTCCCTTGTCATTATCTCTCTCAGCGAAATGTGTGCGCCATATATTCCAGCTGAATAACCTCACTTATAGTTACCATGGAAACTCAGAGGCAAAACTGAACCTATAAAGTGCCCAATGAGGCTCAGTGGCTCCACTCACTGTGAATCCACCATTGTTTAGATTTCACATTTGGCATCTTAGGTTCTAAATGTGTTTTAAACAGGAGGATTGTTTTATTCAATATGTGAACTCTTTTAAATCCTCATGTACTCTTTCAGTTTTGCTCTCAGCAAAAAATAAATAAATAAATGTATAAATGGGACTTGATTGTTAAAAAAGGTATCAAGGTACGACAATGATTATAATAGTACAATTTCTGGCTTTGCAGATTCTGTGCAGGAACCAAAGGGAAACTTGGGTGTTCCTATGGATATCAGCAGCCCTATTACATCTGATGAAGAGTATCTCAGCCCCATGGAAGAAGTCATGGACTTTGGGGGGCCAGAGCCAAGGCGAACTATTGACACACATTTTAGGAAACCCCCTGCATTCTTGGTGAGACTGTGCAGGGTTCATTGGATAAATCTACTTAATTAACTTTGCCCTTTAGTGTGACCATAGTATGTTAATCGAACAGTGGCAACAATACTGCATGGAAATATCTTCCATACTAAGCATTCTATCAGTATTAATTTTCCCTTAATAAATGTATTATCTGCTGTGTGGTCACTCCATCAACACATCTCTCATAAAACTTACAGGTGAAATGCATCTCTAAGCGTCTAACTTGCATTAAATTTTAAACAGGTAACAATGAGTGATCAAGCTGTCATTGAGGGACAGGAAGTCACCATGTCTGTCCGAATAAGTGGACAACCCAAACCTATGCTGTATTGGTAGGTCCCCCCCTCACTTCATCAGTCTACTTAAACTCATTGCTTCCATAAGATATGGACAGCACAAACCATGAGGAAACATGAATGCATAGTTTGTTTTTGAGCATGGTCCTTTAATTCATTAAAGGAGGTGGAAACTTAAAGTTTTAAAGTCAAAACTTTTAAATTGATTTTTTTATTGCATGTGATGCTTTTGCATACCCCCATGCTTAATCAGTGAAGTGATCTTACGATGTAGAGATGAGATCATTTCCTTTTCCTGTTGCAACTTTAACTTGGTGATACTTTTCTTCATAAGAGTAGTCACTGTAGTTGGTTTTAAGTTAGTCTCATATAGCTGCAAATGCAAAAGTTATATCAAAGTAAAGCACAAAAAAGGAAATAAATGTACAAATAAATTTTAGAGCTAAAATATGGTATCCAAATATATGATTTAATTGAAAATAGCACTCTCTGTAAATGTGTTTTAATAGAAAAGTGACAGCACAACAGTTAAAAAAGAGAAAATTACATACTGCTTTTGGTCTTTTTGTGGGGTTCTTTTAATGCTAAATTTAACATTACGGCTAATAATGCCAGTCTTATTTTTTTAATGTAGCTGACAATAAGCGGCTGAGTCATTCATGCAGGTTTTGTCATAAGAGTTAGTCATGAATCTAAAGAGACAATAGCAGAAAAGACAATGTATTCCACCCCCTAATGTGGTGGGACAAAACGTGTGCTTGACCATCCTTTATTGAAAAACTGAAATACAGTGTATGAGTAATTTACCTCTTGTTGAAAAATATAGAAACAATTGGTCCCATGTGCTCTTGTAGGCTGAGGGACAGAGTGACGGTAAAAACAGGCCCACGTCACATTGTACGTGAGATGAAGGATGACGCCTTTGAAATGACAATCAAGTCGGCAGTGAAGTCGGACTCTGGGATTTACACTTGTAGGATTATTAATGAGTATGGGACGAAGCAGTGTGAAGCAAAGCTGGAGGTGAAAGGTATGTGTTTTTCTGCTTGTTTAAGAATGCATAAATCGACATTTCGCTCTTGTTCACCGATTAATTATGTCCGTGTCAGTTTTGGGGAAGTAATTTTGTTCTACATTGTAATGAAATGCCTCCAATTCCTTTACCATAGTTCCACGTGACTAAAAACATAAACAGAGGGCTGGAACTACTTCACAACATCACCTTTTTTGTATCACTTAACAGCAATCTTCAGAAAATGTACTTTATTTATATCCAGCACCACCAGTGGAGCCAGGTCTCGCAGTTATCCGGGCAGTCAGGGATATCACAGCCAAGGCTGGAGAGACTGTTTTGTTTGAGTGTCACGTCATTGGACCAAAGGACACGGATGTGGACTGGCTTGCAGATGGGAAACTGATCCAGCCAGCATTGCTCAATTGTAAAATGCACTTTGATGGAAGAAAGTGCCGCCTGCTGCTTAACTCTGTACATGAAGATGACAGCGGAACATACATGTGCAAACTCAGCACAGCTAAAGGTAAGTGTCAAGGATATATCCCACATGCATGATGCAAAACTTGAAGAAGTATATTTATCACTTCTAACTCGTTTCTACTTAAGAGATATTTTTTTCATTTTTTAGAGGAAGTGACCTCATGTGGCAAACTCAAAGTCATCCCCTCCCTCGAACCTCTCTTTACTCGCAATTTGGATGTTTTGGAAGTAATTGAGGGGCGCAACGCTCGATTTGACTGCAAAGTCAGTGGGACGCCACCTCCTAAAGTCACCTGGAGCCACTTTGGTAGGAACATACTTATACTCTTCTAGGTTGATGACGCTGTCACTTATACACACACTCCTTCTGTGGGCAGTGCAATAACCCCTGACTTCATTTCACCCTAACTGGTCGCAGCAGATGGCCCCGCCCCTCCCTGAGCCTGGTTCTGCCAGAGGTTTCTTCCTGTTAAAAGGGAGTTTTTCCCTCCACTGTCACCAAAGTGCTTGCTCACAGGGGTCATGTGATTGTTGGAGTGTTCTCTTTTTTCTTTGTATCACTGAATTTCACTGCCAACTGACGATTTTAGCCTTATTTCTTAATCTGATGGTAAATCAGACATAAAATCAACTGTCAAGTTTTAATTAAATTGTCGCTTAATAGCAAGCAAAAAGTGAAACTTTTTTGGAACATCTAATTAATTATAAACACAAAATCTCTTACTGACTTTTGTATTCTTTATCATTTGGTGTTTTTAATTATCTCTGATCAATCACTTATCTTTAAAGTTTTACTGGGTAAACTTCTAGCTTATCTTACTTATGCTCCTCCAATATAAAACCATATGGATATGTTTTCCTTTTTCCTTTAGATCATTTACTTACAGAAAGTGAGGACATTCGTATTCTTCAGGAGGGTGGCCGCCATTCTCTCGTCATTTCTCATGTGACCAGCGATGATGAGGGTTTTTACACTGTCAGAGCCCATAACAGTCACGGTGAGGCAGAGAGCTCTGCTGAACTTTACATACAGGAGCCACGTCCAGCCATCTCCTCACAGATGTAAGAATGTTTGATTTTCTCTGGATCACGTGTGCTTTTTGAAATTCCGCTTGAGCTCCCAGTGGTGTTCATTGTTACCTATCCAATTCTTCTTCTCATCACTTCAGGGCTAAATTGGAGAAAATGCCCTCCATACCTGAAGAGCCAGAGGTCCCAGAGAATGAGGTGGAGCGTTTCACCATGCCTGACTTCATCAAACCCCTTTATGACCTGGATGTGATTGAGGGAAAAGAGGCTGTGCTCAAATGCAAAGTGGCTGGTTTGCCGTATCCAACTATCGCCTGGTTCCACAATGGAAAGAGGATTGAAAGCACAGAGGACAGAAAGATGACACAGTGTAAGTTTTGCAGAATGGATTTATATTCATCTGATATTTATTTCCATCCTTTGTATGGAAATTCCTTTATGTATGATTTTCTTTTCAGCAAACGCAAACAAATATTTTTTTTATTACTTCATTTAAAAAAATAACTGCTTGTATTATCAGGTACAATAACCATTACTGATCTAGCGGTAATAATCTGAACCAAATACTTCTTTATTGAGGAAGTGATTTTATCATTCTCTTTTTGCCCTGTTTGCTTCTTCATTGCCAGGATCATTGCGACAGTTACTTCTGTGCTTCAGCAGCAAGTCATATCAACTACCTTTAATCTACAAAGACCAATTTTCAAAAACGAGGGTGCTGTCCTCTTTCTTGTTGCGTGGAGCAAAAGTACACAGAATTTCATTGTGAGATCAGGGTTTAATTAAATACAGAGAGTGTCGTTATTCTATAGCTGCTACACTGAGCACTTACACCCCTGAATGAATCCACACTGCCTCAGTCTTCCTTGTCTGTGTCGTGTAAAACCGAGTAAGCCAAGCCGCTTTCTCCTGTTGCAGTTCGTGATGTTCACAGCCTGGTCATCCGCTCTGTGTGCCATGCCCACGGTGGTGTCTACAAGAGTGTCATCTCTAACAAAGTTGGGAAGGCCACCTGCTATGCTCATCTCTATGTTACAGGTAATTTTTTTTTCGTCTTCCTCAAGTGCTTTGAGGAAACTCTCATTCTGATTTGATGCTATATAAATAAAATTGAACTGAATTGAACGCTCTGGAGAAAGAAACATGTTTTGATTACACAACCGTACTCAAGTACACCTTATAGATTGATGCTGCCCCATGCCGCACCACACCAGAGAAAAATACAGCTGCCTAAATCCATTGTCATTTTCAGACATCCTCCCTGACCCACCTGATGGGACTCCAGTCATAGAATCCATTACTGGCAAAACCATCACCTTGAGCTGGAAGAAACCAAGGAGGCTGGACCCTTCCATTGGTAAGCAAAAACATTGTCACATGTGTTATATTCAAGAGACAAAACAATATATTCCTTATTCTTAAGTTATTTATTGTTTTACACATTTAATGCAGAACATTCTCTAAGGTCTCTTTCAGACATGCATTTTAAAATATTTGTGTCTATCTCATCTTTCCATGAAAGTCTGACAGATTGTAATCTATCGCTTTCAACATGGAACAGATCTGAGCTGAGGGCCATTTGATCATAGACTGAATGTAAAAGATGGACCTTGCTTCTAGGTCTAAAAAGTAAAGCCAGTGCATTCTTTCTAATGTCCAGCAGAGGGCAACAGTTCTGGTTCCAAAAAAACACTGGGTTGTCTAAAACAGTGGTCCCCAACCCCCGGGCCACGGACCGGTACTGGTCGGTGAGTCGTTTGGTACCGGGCTGCGAAAGTTGAGGCTCGGTTGTGAAATTTATGGTTTTTATCAGTTTTTCCATGAAGGGCCATGAAAATATTGTCGGACATAAATGTTCCGTGGTGCAAAAAAGGTTGGGGGCTGTTGGTCCAAAAGACTATGAGCAAATTATCCCATTTCTCAGTTTCTCTGTTTTATGACCTCAGTATAAGATTTACATGATGTGTTTACGGTCTCATTTGCTACTTTTCTGTCTTAATAATAATAATAATAATAATAATAATAATATTAATACATTTTATTTAAAAGTGCCTTTCAGAACACTCAAGGACACTGTACACAGCAGAACAAAGCAAGCATAAAAACAGGCAGTTTACAAAATCATAAAACATAAAAATAAAATAGGAGAAGGGAAAAGGTTATGTTGGATAAGCTATCAAGCTAAGCTATTTTTTACTTAATGATTTTACTGATTTATTTATTTTATTATTTAAGTTTAAGTTTTCACAATATTCATTTTGTAAATTGTAGTCCCAAATGTGTCCGAATGAAAGAAAACAAAGTGTTTGACAAATGGCCAGGCTGTGAGTGTGATGTGTTCTTTCATTTCTGGGTAAGACTTACTCTTCTCTGGTTTTACAGCTGGGACACTGAAACAAGCAGCAGATTTCATTATGAAAAAACATCAAGAATAAATGCTAAAAATAACATACTGACACACTGTAAGGTGCTCCAGTTTTTACATGTTGTACTTTATGTACTTACTTCATATACTGCGTGATATAAAAAGGAATCATTGACCCAAAGCATTTTGAATCAAAAGCCTTTTTTTTCTTCCAGATCCCAGCTCTTTGATGTACGCCATCCAACAGCAAGCCTTAGGTTCCATCCAGTGGATCATCATAGCTTCAGGCCTGAAGGAGACAACTTACACCATCACAACACTCTCCAAAGGTGTGCGCTATGCTTTCAGGGTACTCACCATCACCTCCAAGGCTTTCAGCAAGCCCTCACCAGCTACTGACCCAGTGCAGCTCCTGGACAGAGGTAGGTTTGACTTTATAGATCATCCATTCATCCATCCATCCAGAACAAATCTGTTAAATATTACCTCTGTGGTTTATGTCTTCAGGTCCTTATGTGCAGGAGGCTCCAGTGATTATCGATAAGCCAGAAACTGTATATGTGATGGAAAACCAGTCGGTCACTATCTCAATGACTCTCAATCATGTTAATGCTTCAGTCATCTGGAAAAGGTTAGTTTCTGTCAATACACTTCATTTTGTTGTTTTTAGAAAAAGAGAAACTCAAGGAAATGAATGAGTTTTACTTTCAAATATATTCCTGACACATGAGAGAATCTAGTGCCGTTTGTCCCCTTTCTGACTTAGTACATAACAGGATACATGTACTGTTACTGGGAAGCATAAATACAGTATGACAGTATGCAAAGAGGCAGCTGCTTTATTCCCAGTGATTATCCAGGATTCCAGAGCAGTTAAGAAAGTCTATTATTATGTCCTGACTCAGTGACACTCTGCTGCCCTCCTTCCTATAAGTATCTGACCTGACTGAAAATGCTTTTGTTCCCAGGAGAGGAGTGGTCCTGGCCAACAAGCCAGGCCTATATGAGATGACAATGCCAGATGACGACCAGCACACGCTGAAGCTGCTGAAAGTGAAGAGCGCTGACATTGGAGAGATGGAGTTTGTGGCCTCCAATAAGTATGGCAGTGACAGCTGCAAATTCATTGTGGAGATGGCAGGTATAGATTTCAGGTAGACTGTGTGCATATAAATTATGAACATAGTCTCTGGGTTTAAAAGCAAAGCTTTTGTTGAAATGCAGTCTCTCTAATGGCCAGCAGGGGGCGACTGTTTCAAAAAGAAGTCGGATTGTTTAGAATTAAGGAAACTAGATTGCAGGACCTATGACTTCAGTTAACATGTTCCCTTAAGAGTTTATGTTTATAATGGGTTTATTCACTGGTGTTGATTCATTAGGTCTACAACATGATAATGATCTGAACTAGTGTCAAAAAGGAGGATGAAGTGTACTTTAGGGTGGACCTACTGTGAGTCCAGATCTCTGCTGTATCAGCATGAGTAGTCCCTCAGTTTCTCAGTCAGATCATCTCTGACATCTGCTTTCAGAATTCTAGTGATGGACATATTCGGAGACTAAGTACAAAATAACTGCAAATAATTGCCTCAAAATTAATTGAACTTTGTACTGTCATTACAGCTCCACCAACATTTGAGACCATTATGGAAGATTTGGATGTTTGTGCTGGGGATACCCCTCGCTTTGCTGTGGTTGTGGAGGGCAAACCCATCCCTGACATCTTGTGGTTCAAGGTTTCCATCCATTATAGTGTTTAATACAATGGCCCTGCATGACTAGTTATTCTTTACTGGTTTCTCTGTGCTGTTAACTAAATTAGTGAAATGGGAAATAACCATAAGAGTTTTTCGGGAGTTTTTAGCAAACGCAAGACGACCCGCTGTAAAACGTAGCATATTTGCTTTCAGAATGATATCCTGCTGTCAGAGAGCAGTCATTACACGTTTGTGTACGATGATAATGAATGCTCCCTGGTGGTTCTAAATGCTCGTCCGGAAGACTCTGGGGTTTACACCTGCACAGCAAGGAACTTAGCCGGATCTGTATCCTGTAAAGCTGAACTCACCGTTCATGAAGGTAAGAAGCCAGTCTGTCTGTCTGAGGTGTCAAAGGCTCTTGAATGAACAAATTGATGGAACTCATTTAATCTTTTATCTTTGCTGTAGCTAAAAGTAAAGAAGATCCCATCGACGATGAGGAAACTATTCTAAGGAAAATGCGCCGACTGACTGATTACTATGACATCCACAAGGAAATTGGAAGGTAAATCGGTTTTAAGAAAAGATCCCACAGCTGATGTGCACTGTTACTTGACAGTCTTTTTTCAACTAATAAGAAATTATGAAACTGATGAACTGTTTCTCCAGAGGTGCTTTTTCCTATGTGAAACGTGCGACCCAGAAGGCAGACAAGATGGAGCACGCTGCAAAGTTTATTTCCACGCGGGCCAAGAAGAAGACATCCGCTCTGAGAGAGATGAAGCTGCTTTCCAAGCTGGACCACGAGAGAGTGCTTTACTTTCATGATGCCTTTGAGAAGAAGAATGCTGTTGTCATCATCACTGAAATGTATCCACATTTAAAAGCAGTCAGAAAACAAACCTTCTGATGCTGAGTACTCAGTTAGCCTTAGTATAATATACCAGGTTTATGTTAAAAGAATATTTTAATATTGAATGCGTTATAACCAGTGATTGGAATAACTGGTAACGGCGTTACTTTTTTCAGTAACGAGTAATCTAACTAATTACTATTCCTATCGTTACAACTCCGTTACCATTACTAACAAGAAAATGCGGTGCGGTCGCGTTACTATTTTTCAACAAACAGACGGTTGAAGCTGCCTTCAGCTTACCGCATCTTATATCAGTTGCACGGAAGTAGCTGTAAGTAATTTGGGCCCTACAGCTTTCAGCAGCTGCGCGCGCTCCCGTGGGCGGCAATCACTTTCTCGCACAACAATCGCATGAGTGCTGCTGTTTGACTGAGGAAGAGTATAATAGTCATGGTAAGCCAATCACATGACCGCTTTAAGATGACAAAGCAACAAGGTGATATATACCAGTTTTTAAATTGTGTTGATAGGCCACGTAAAACCAGAGTCATGATAAACAATATATACGCGGCGTTTTTATCTCAATAGTTTCGTCACGTTTGCTGTCTAAGGACAGCGCAGCAAGCGCTCTCTGCTTATGAGCAAAAACAAACAAACAAAAACACAGGGGAAAAACAGAGAGAGCGAGTTTTGAGATGTGAGAGATTTGTGACGTTTAGCGTGTTTGGAGTGTGCAGTTAATGTGTTGTCTTGTGTAGTTAGTGTGTAGTGTTGTGGATAGTTTTGTGTTGTGTGTCAGAACAATGAGGCGACTGCTGTCTCCAGGTAGAAACAGGAGTGATACACCTGCTGCTGTCACACCTGCAGGTATCAGGCTGTGATGTTCTCCTTTATAGTGGACAAAAATATTTGGAGTGGCACAAATAATTTGTGTGGCATCTTATTGAATGCAGAACAGCTGATTGTTCTATAAATAGTTTGAAATGGTTATAAAGAAAAAGGGTAAAAGGTAAATGGCTGCAAATAACTTTGTTGTTTGCAAAACTTGTGCATTTTAAAATTGACAATTTATATTTGCATTTAAAATTATGAAATATGATTCAATAAACATGTTTGTGGTTGTTACAGTAAAAAATAGAACTTTTTTCTACTCTGATTTTATGTTTTTTGTCTGATTCTAGATCAGTTGTGTTAATAAAGTACGTCAAAATGAAAACATGACTGTAAATTCAGACACGTGAGGTTGTGCTGAAAAGAATGATACCAAACAAGGCAAAGTAAACAGTTTTTAAAGGTGAAATGTGGAGGAAACATCAAAAGTAGTTAAAAATGGCCAATTATACCCTGGACCCCAGAGGGTTAAACATTTTTTTAAGTAACACTATAGTTACTTTTTAAGTAATTAATTACTTTTAGAATCTTGTAACTCAGTTACTAACTCAGTTACTTTTTTGAAGAAGTACCTAGTAACTATAATTAATCACTTTTTGAAAGTAACTTGCCCAACACTGGTTATAACATAATAAATCATTTGTTACAAAGTGCATTTAATTTAACAAAAAGAAATGCCTTAACTGATCGTTAAAGATGCCACGAGGAGCTGCTTGACAGATTTACAAGAAAATCGACAGTAATGGAGTCTGATGTAAGGATCCCAATTTTTCACTAACTAAATACTACTTTTATCTATATTTTCTTATTATCTGATCAAAAAAATCTTCTGGTTTTTTTTTTTTTGTTTGTTTTGTTTTGTTTTGGACCATCAGGTTCGTTCATGTATTAGACAACTTCTTGAAGGATTGGACTACCTTCATCATTCGAACATCATACACCTGGACATCAAGGTAGATAAATAAGGGTACTCATTGTATTCTTCCATCATCTTGTGTGTCAGAAGGTTATTTTTAAATGATCATATCAGTTGCACTTTCATAGCAGACAGTGGGTTAGATATTATTTCCTAATTCTCTCATCAGCCTGAAAACGTCCTCATGGCGGACCCCCATGGTGATCAAATCCGACTTTGTGATTTTGGCAACGCGGTGGAGATCACACCTGATGATGCTCAATACTGCAAATATGGCACACCAGAATTTGTTGCACCAGAAATTGTCAATCAGAGCCCCGTGTCAAAAGCAACAGATATATGGTATGACTCAGTCACACTACACTAAAAAATAGGACAGAACCTTCCATGCGATTAGTGAAAATCAGAGGTAGCCCAATGATTGCACTGATTTGTTATGTATTTATTTTTTGTTGAAACCCAGTTGCAATTAGTTGCAGTGACCAGCTGGTCGCCCAGAGGCTGAACGTGCAACGCCCTCAGTCTCTGGTCAACCACTTATTTCTGTCCTGGTGGGTAGCAACCTGTCTCCAAGTAATCACAGTCTGACTCTGGCTAACTGATATCCCTCTCTCACAGATGGCCAAAGTTTTGCAAATAGCAGCTATCTAGTTTAAAAGAAAAATAGACACATTGTCAACACATTTCAGTTGATCTGAGACTGTCTGTACTGATGAGTGCAACTTGTCTGTGACGCATTTTCTTGCAACAGCGGACTACGCTCAACAGGTTGCCAGCTGGTTCTATTCTGGTTTTATTTTCTAAATAAGACCCCAACTCTGCCTTGCTTTTGAACCCTATATTTGATTTAAAACAGTAAATTTAAAAAAGAAAACAAAGTTGCCAATTCCCTACGTCATTTTGTTGCCATCTTGCAACAACTAAATCACTATTTGTGAAGGAATTTTTACATTTTTGTTTCACATTTATGAGGTTCTGGGAGAACTCTGAATTGAATTTCCTCCTGGGACTTTCTGTCTATGTTGACTGCAACAGTTTAGCAGTTTTGGAGGATTTATCACAGTTGTTTGTGAAGTTAGCACAAACACATTGCATTTAATTTCCAGCTTGACTGCATTCAATTGAAAACTAATAGCAGATAGAGGGCAGACTGATTCTTTCTTATTGCTGTTTTCTTTTGCTTTTAAGACAGCAGCTGTATGTGAGTAGTTGTACACCTGGTCCAAAAGCAGTTTCAAAGCCAATAAGATCATGGTGGTTCCAGTAATTTTGGTCATTCTGCTGTTTTCCCTAATCTGACTATCACAGTAGAAAAGCTTTAAAATACAGTACTTACAAATATTTGTTAATGTCCTGATCTTAAACACTGTATTTTTTCTTTACTTTTCTAGGCCTGTTGGAGTAATAGCATATCTGTGGTAAGGACATTTTTCATTAGTTTCAATTTTCCATAATGCTAAAAACCTTTTTCAGTGTGTTGGTCAGGACTACATCTAAGTTTCTTATTAAGTTTGTTATTATTAAATGCTATTATTTCTCTTGTCAGTCTCACCGGTGTATCTCCATTTGCTGGCGAGAATGATCGCAGCTCTGTACTGAACATCAGAAACTATAACGTGGCTTTTGAGGAGGGCATGTTTGCCGATCTTTGCCGAGAAGCTAAAGGGTTCATCATAAAGCTGCTGGTGGCTGACAGACTGTGAGTAACACCGCTGTATCTCTTTTAGTCCAAGTTTCAATACTTGCAAACAGTTATGTGTCAACCACAGTAAAATCCTGACTTGATGGATAACTGTCATCAGTTATTATGTATCATCGAATGTCATACATCAAATATAATAATTTATGAAAACAGTCATATCCAAGTCAACAACACTGAGTTAATGATCAGAAGTATAAAGATTTGTCATTACATATTATTTTTATTCACTATACTGAGCTTGAATTTAATAAAATTAAAATCAAAGATTTTTGTTTCAGCATTTCCAGAATTTTGTCTGATACTTATTTATCACATAGCCTATCGCAGATTTATTTATTTTCAGTTTTCATATTTGTTTTATCATTTTAGACGACCAGACACCCAGGAATGTCTCAGACACCCCTGGTTCAAGGTATGAATAAGTGATATCCATTTGGCAATTCTTAGTAAAGTCCCATTTCTCATTTATTTGTTTTAAATTTCATGTCCATTTATTGTACAGACCCTTAGTAAGGGGAAGGCCATAAGTACAGAGGCCTTAAAGAAATTTGTATCTCGCAGGAGGTGGCAGGTGAGATGGGTTGTAATTCTTTATTACTGCATGTTGCAAGGTCACATTGTGGTACTTATTTTGTCACATTTTCCTTTTTTTAGCGTTCTCTGATCAGCTATAAATCAAAAATGGTCATGAGGTCCATACCCGAATTGCTAAATGATTCCTCCAGCCATGTTTCCATCGCAATTCCCAGGCACCTTAAAGAGGGTTCGCCACCACCATCATCTTCCTCTGATTCTGATGAGGACATAGATGAACTACCTTTTATTCCAATGCCACTTAACATGGACTTCTCTGGATCAAGGATGTCACTGAATGACATTCAGACCGATGAGCAGGAGGCAGGGAAGCAGAACGGAGCAAGTACCTGGTCTGGGTCTTCTGTTCAAGGCCAGGAGGCAATGGAGTGTGATCCTAAAGAAATGGATAAAGAAGGACTTGAAGTGGGAGGCAAAGGCCGCCTGAGGAAAAGATCATCACAACCCAATGAAAAGGGTTCTTCAGATGAGGAAGAATCACCTGCTGAATTGCCCCAAAAATCAGAGCTGTCTAGAAAACCACTGAGACGGGGTTCAAGCATGGAGTCAGACAAACCAGAAGGTGGACGACGAAGAGGAGAGCTAAGGCGTGGTGGCTCAGCTGATAGTGCATTGATGCTTCGGATTACACCAGAAGAAGCACCTGGAGAAGGAAGTCAAGATGATGGCAGAAGAGTTCTGAAGAAAGCTGTCTCGATGGAACTACCAAAAAGGAGCACCAGCCCAGGAACTGCCAAGATGAGCCAAGAAGACTATGCTCTCAAACTGGAGCTGATGAGGCAACGACTGCTTCGTGGTGGCTCTGTGGACAACAAGATGAGTGGACTGAGAGGACCTCTGTTGGAAACATTAGGAATGGGAGATGAAAAACGTGCAGTGTCCTCAGATCGGTATTCTCGTACAGTCCGTTTGGGCCCACCTCCACTAACAAGAGCTGCATCCAGTGATTTCCCAAGGGATGAAGTTCCTAAACCAAAAGTTTTGCGCAAAAGCACTTCTTTCAGTCAGGGGGATTCAGAACCCATACCTTTGCACCGCCGTTCAGGAGCGCCTCTGGAGATTCCCTTGGCACAGATAGAAGAGAGAAGGCTCAAAGAAGCTATATCTATGTCATCTCTAACAGAGCAAACCAAGCTAGACTCCCGCCCAGTGACTCCCAGGGAGCCTTCACCAAAACCGCCAACACCAGAGTCTGTTTTGCAGGAAAGTCCAACCAAAACTGAGAGTGAGGAATCGTTTATGGAAAAAGAGATAAAGCCAGATGAGACTATAAGTGAAAAGATGGAAGGGCTGACCACAGATAGCAATTTTGATGAGAGATCAAGCACCAGTGGATTCTCAGAGAAGGACATGAGTATTTCAGAAGAACCAATGATGGAATCAGAGTCTGTAGGTCAGAGAATTCCTACACCTCCTTCTATGGTCCAAAGTCCTGCATTAGAAGAGAAAATGGAAGAGGAAGAAGAGGGAGAAAAGAAGCATGAAGAAAAGGAAGAGTTAATGAAAGAAGAAGAGGAAAGAGTTGATACTGTCACTGAATCAAACACTAAGGAAAACGTAAAAGATGTTATAGAACATATAGAAGAGAAAGTAACTATCCCTGAGAAATCCCCTGAGGTGACAATAACCACAAGCTCATTTATGCTGAGACCAACACAAGAATATTCCACTTCCCCAGGAAAAGTTGTTTCAACGTATGCGACACCCTCGCTTCCTGCTCGAGTTGTTCTGCCAGATGGAAGGACTTCAGCATATGCCAGTATAATGCAGACTATGATGGTCCCCACACTTCAGCCACTCAGTGAGCCACCGCTAGGCCCTTCTACACCTGTTGTTACTCCAACGATTTCATCATCCCCAGTATCAACGGGTATATCTTTCCCTGCCAGCTCTGAAATACCTGGTCCACCAAAGCCAGCCACCGTTTCAACCACTGAGCACCCTGCTGTATATTCCAGAGTAGCATCACCAGAGATGATAACAAAAGAACCCACTCCACCCAAGACTGTTACATATTCTTCAGCCCAAGAAGGGCTTTCAGCAGGAGCAGACCTACAGGATATCACCTCTGAAGAGGTCTTTGAGGCACGCTTTAAAAAACGTGAATCTTCTCTCACCAGAAGTCTGAAGTTTCTGTCACGCTCAAAGCAAGATGATGGATTACAAGCTGCTGCAGATTCTACAGAGAAAAGTGAAGAGATATACAGACCTGGGCCAACGGGTGCACCTTTAGAATTAAAACCAAGAAGACTTGAGGAGAAGTCAAAGTCAGTCCAGGATCTTCGTGAAGCTCAAAAGGACCAAGGCTTTATGAGAAGGCTCTCAATGCGCTTGAAGAGGACTCCATCAACAGAGCGCAAAGAGGAAATGATGAAGGAAGATGATTCTGTTGCCTCGAGACGTAGGCTTTCTTGGACTCTGGGCCGAAGAGGGTCTCAGGAGAAGAAAGAAGTAGAGATGTCAAGAATGGATGGGGGAACTGATAGATTGGTGGAAAATGATGAAAAAGAGATTAAGAAACCAAATGAATCTCCAGTGTTGGCAATGCGCAGGAAAATTGAATCAACAGTTGCTGGGATCTCTACAAGAATCCGCAGCTACTCAGAGGAGAGAAGAGCATCAGAAGACAAGGAACCCAAGAGGACACCCATTCTTTCCATGCTTCGTCGTTCAACATCAGAGAGCCGTGCAACGAAAGTTCCTCAGAACCAGCTAGCATCTCAGGCCACTAATGGTGCCTCAACCGAGTCTCTAGAGTCTATGTCCAGCCTAAAATCAGACACAGCGAAGGGTATGTCCAGTTACCTTTCCATTTTGAATCAATATTTTACCAGAGGACTATCTGTTGTACTTTTTTAAGAGTGATGTAATTTATGAAGCTTTTCTTTCCTATTTCTTTTCTTGTAGCAGGCTTGGAGGCTGAGCGCAGATCCCGCTGGGATCGATGGGGCCTGACTAGAGGGAGGCGAGATAAGACAGTATCACAGCCTGACATACCAACAGCAATCTCTCGAGATAGTAGTTCCTTACGTTCACGTCAATACTCTAAACTGGCTTCTGGTAAGTTATATAAGAGTGTGCATAAAGTATTTGGGTAAGGCAATGATGACATTTAGTATGGGCCTCCTTTTTATTTTAATAGGAAGACCACTTACTTATATGTAGCCCTTAAATACGAAGCTACAGCCAGCAGACACTTCACTTTCTTTACCAGACCAGAAATAAAACCAAACATCACCAGCAGAGAGTGGATCTGTGACATTATTGTCACCGTGCAATAGTGGTATTTTAGAATGTGACAGTTTCCATCTGCTTGGTCAAAATGCTTGTGACTAAGAAATATATTTTTTCTCACTAAAATATAGTTACTTAGCAAAATGTGTATTTCAGTCAGACTGGGAAGCCTCAGGCACAAAAAGCAGCAGCAAGACCCCATTACAAAAAAATGCAACCATCACTTGCAACAAATAAGCCAAAAACAGCATTAAAATAACAAGGTGGCAGTGGGTTGTAAAGCATCTTGCAAAGGCTACAACAGCCACAGACATGCTATATTAGTCATATAGTTAATAGTTATCTTGAGATACGTTATATTTTAAATTAACATTATGATGTAAATAGGGTTTTATACATGACATTTGCCAATAGGATGTACAGAAATGTATTTGCTGAGGCCTCAGATATGCTCAATTTCAGATTTTTAAAAAAATTACTTCATAATCATAACTGTTAGTTTTACCTTTCATCATACAGTATTTCTGCAATTAATTATTGTAATGTCTTCAACTTCCAGATTTCCCTCCAGTATTCCATATCAAACTGAGAGATCATGTGCTGCTGGAGGGAGATCCAGTGACACTCAGCTGTTTGCCAGCTGGAAGTCCCCACCCACACATTACCTGGATGAAAGGTGAGGATCTTTAATGTGAATAAACAGTAGTGTCTTAGTGAGGGTAATACATGTGCATGTGAATAGAATCATTCTGTTTGCATTTTGCAGTAATTTGCATAATTCCTCTAACATCCATGAGTGCAGAGACACATTATGTTGCATATTGATGCAAATATGATGTAATTACAAATGCTACATACAGTGAACATAAATGTTGCTGTAGGTAAAACAGCTGAGATTATTCTTGAATGAGTTGTTATGCCAGTATCATGTTCTTTGGAGTGGTATCCTTAAGCAGCATAAATGGGCTCAAATTTACAACCTGACACAGGGCAAGTAAGAAAAGGGTAGGTAAGAAAAAGGAAATAAATATTGACCTTCAAAATTCCCTCCCTGTGCATGTGTGCTTTCTCAGACAAGAAGCCCCTAGAGATTGATGCCAGGATGAATATGATTGCTTGTCCTGATGGGAGGCAGCTGCTGATGATAATGCAGACCACCAAAAAGGACGCAGGGGTTTATGAATGTGTGGCTACGAACCCGCTGGCCTCAGTATCAAGCTCTTGCACAATATCTCTTGCACGTAAGAAATGAGACATTGTTTGAGTCTTTGAAGAAGTACATTTACTTTATCCCAACAGTATTACTAGTAATACTAATATATTTGTTTTACAGGCCTGCCCAACCGTCCTGGGACTCCAGAGATTCCTCAGAAGTACAACAACACTGCACTGGTTCTGTGGAGGCCTTCAGACACAATGGCTCCCTGCACATACTCTCTGGAGAGGCGAGCAGAGGGTCTGTGTTTGCAATAATTCTGTAATCTAGATGAACACTGCTGTACATCCATTGTTAGATTTATTAGACCTATCCTAAGTAACTCTCCAAAAGCTGATTCTGTTCATCTAGACGTAGCGTTTTCAGTGGGAGAAACGTTTCGTTACTCATCCAAGTGACTTCTTCAGTCTCAGCTGACTGCAGGTTTCTTATAAACAGTACATTTGCATAATAGGTGAAACCAGCCCACTGAAGGAACAATGGGCTGGGAGGTCACCTTCATCATAATTATGCAAATTCTCATGACCATTGATCAAAGACCACTGATCAGTGGCCATGAGTACCATTCACAGAGAGTTGGGGAATGGCTGCAATCACAGCATTGTAAGATGGTGAAAGATGAACCCTTAGGCCCCCTCCTCGGTTAAAGATGGTCTTTCCCTTTTCACAGAAATGGCCTCCTTGACTCCGCGCTCAAACCAGCGTTCCTCCCTGTCCAGGATGTGTACATCCTCATCATTGAAAGAGTGTCCACAGGCCTCTTTCAATGATAAGATGCATGATTGAGAATGCATCAAGACGATGTCCTAAGTAACCCTTTCAAAACCTAAAACTGAGGTTTTGAAAGGGTTACACTGAACAAACTTGGGTCTCAAACAAGCACAGAAAAACACATGTATTGCATATATATTTCATGAGATATGGCGAGTGACAAAGAGGAATTGCAACTAGAATCCCAGACACTGTATATCTCTATTTGGTTGCCATGTATTCATTAGGGCATATTAGGGCATATCTAATTGGCCCTTGGGGATAAAGTCTTTCTGATTCTGATTCTGATATAGGCTTTAAGCTAAGAACACTTGATCAAGTATCATAAGGAGACACACTAATGTGTTTTAGGTGTACTTGTGTTTAACTCTTGAGCATGTCTTTTTAAATTAAATTAAATAAAGACAAAAAACCTCAGTCAAAGGTAGTATTTAATTTCATACTGCTACTTTAAGCAAGTGATCTTAATATTCCTTCCACATCTGTCCTCAGGTGAGAACAACTGGCTGATTGTGGCCACTGGGATAGCAGACTGTTATTACAATGTGACTGACTTACCAGCAGGGGGCTCCTTCAGATTCAGGGTGGCATGTGTCAACAAAGCTGGCCAGGGCCCCTACAGCAACCTCTCAAAGGTCTTGAGCATGGATGCCTCAGGTATTTACAGAAAACCTTCAATTGTTTTACATACCCTTATCAATGAAATAATTAAAGAACTTTCAAAACTGAAAGATTTACATTTGTATCTATCGTTATTGTTGTTGTTGTTGTTGTTGTTGTTGTTGTTGTTGTTGTTGTTGTGCTCAGCTCATTATAGAAGGTTATATTTTTATGTGTATAATTTTGTTTTTGATGGAATAATATATATGACAAATTATTCGACTCCACTTGAGGTAAAACAAACCTCTGTGTTGTATTTGTTGCATTAATGCATAAAATCAAGTAGCTTCTTGCCTTTTCTTGTTTTTCATAGAACCAGCTAAATCCAGTGCCACAGTAGTGGTGAAGACTGTTCCTGCAATTTCTCCTCCTCCCCCTGCTGTAATGATGTCATCCATGAAAGTGCCTCCCATGAAACTAGCTCCCAGTAAATCCACAACAGTGACGAATGCTCAACTTGCCCCTCCATCAACATCAGCTCCTGCTCCACCTTTGGTTAAATCTGCCTCTCCAGTAACCATCAGTCCTGCTGTTAGTACTGCCCCGGCAGAGCCGGCTCCTGTTAAGACCACAACAACTGCCCAAGCCACACCAGCCAAAGCCAAGAGCTCTATTAGCATCAGTGTGAGCAAACCCCAGACAAAGCTGACACCCCCGCCTGTTGTTCCACCCAAACCTCAGAGTCCAGTACATACTGTCCCCCAGTTGATCAACAAACCTCCATCCCCTGTTCCACCACCGGCACCTATAATAGGGAAACCTATTTCATCTGTGCCAATGTATGTGCCAGCTGCCACTGCTCGTGCTACTCCACCTTCCCAAACTACTTCCACCCCAACAACTACCACCCCTTCAGTCACTCCCACAACCATCTCCCCACCTGTGGTGGTGGTGCAGAGCTTGACACCAGTGTTGCAAGGAGGGGACACTCACACTATCCCATCTGGCCGGATCACTCCATCAGGACGGATCACGCCATCAGGACGTAGGACCCCACTGGGGAAGCCTGGAGAGGGATCTCTGCGTCAGGGAGTTCCACAGAAACCGTATACATTCATGGATGAGAAAGCAAGGTGATAAGTTTTGTAAAACATTTACGGTCTGAATTAGCAGCTATTTATAATTGACACAGAGAATTTTCTGTGCTTTTCCATTGGAAGTTTATATCATTTCTTTCTCATGCAGAGGTCGGTTTGGTGTGATCCGTGAATGTCGGGAGAACGCCACAGGCAACCTTTTCATGGCTAAGATTGTTCCATATGAGGCAGACAACAAGCAGGCAGTGCTGCAGGAATATGACATTCTCAAGTCGCTTCATCACGAAAGGATCATGGCTCTACACGAAGCCTATGTCACGCCACGCTACCTGGTGCTTATCTCTGAGTACTGCAGTGGGAAGGAGCTGCTCTACAGCCTTATTGATAGGTATGATTTGATAGGTCATTTTTAGCACTATCCATAAACGAGTGCCCTAAACTGTTCTACTTGGAGTGCTTAAGAAGCTGTTTAATCGTGTCTCTTAGATTCCGTTACTCGGAGGACGATGTGGTAACCTACGTCGTGCAGATCCTCCAAGGTTTGGACTACCTCCACGCTCGACGCATCCTCCACCTGGACATCAAGCCGGACAATATCATTGTCACCTATATGAATGTCATCAAGATCATTGACTTTGGCAGTGCTCAGACATACAACCCTCTGTTCCTGAAGCAATTCAGTCCTCCTGTTGGAACACTGGAGTACATGTGTAAGGATTTTTGTTTTTTAACAGTGCAATGGAAATAATACAATGATGACAATAATAACTATAGAAAATCTTATGATAATAAATTCCTTAATTAGAGTTCAACTTAAAAGGCTCAAAACCATGAGAGTGCCTTGAAGCAGCTGCTGCTGTGATTTGACGCTATATTATGAAAATGGAATTGAAATTAAAGAGAGCGGAGAACCACCAATCATGACAGTTTCTGTCTAATTGCTCGACACAGCAGAGCAATCAAGAGTTTAAACGACAGATATTTTACTTATAAGTGGATGAAGACTAAAACAGAGCTGATAGGGAGCAAATATTGAATTTATTTTCATCTGAAAACCTTCAGCATATTACAAAATGAATGCTGTTCTTTTTAAGTTTAATGAGCATGTAAGCCAATGTTTGCTAAATGTAAGATAACTTCATACAGAGAAAATATTTTGTATGTACTGAAAGCAGGATGTACATAAATGGTTATAAATCAGTCATTTGACTCACTTTTTTTGCTATAATGAACTTCAGTAAAGGTAGTGGCTATACAAGTGTGGCCTTTCCACCCATGTTATCTTTGGGCCAACAGATAATCAAATTGTCATGAGATAATTCATTTTCTCAGTGTTTAACGAGCTGCCCCTACAGCAGTATTAGTTAACTTACAGTTTTAGCCAACTAGCTGGCTTGAAAGCAGTGTGAAATATCTGAGTCAGTTGACACTGTCAAGTGAAACTGACCATACAAGTTGATTTATGTTGGAACTTTTTTTTTTCTAAAAAAAAAAAAAAAAGATTTATGTTGGAACTACAAGAGGGTCCTTGGGATTGTTTTTCATTTATAAGAGAGCCTTTGATTATACTACTCAATATATATGTACTGAATAACTGATGGTTTTAAACCAACGCGGTTAAAGAATAACAACTGTGCATTTAAATATGGACTTTGTCTTTTGGATATATTATAACTATAATAGATATATTATAGTTTTCTTAAGCATTTTAAATAGATAAAAAAAAACCTTTGTGTACGTTATGTAATCTTAACTGTGGCCATTTATTAGAAAAGAAATTATAACACACACAAACGAAAATCTAAGTCAAAGTGATAAATGAAAGCTCTTAGTACACACAGATAATAAAGGCCGTGAATTTGTCCTTTTTCTTGCAGCTCCAGAGATGTTGAAAGGGGATGTTGTGGGCCCACCAGCTGACATCTGGAGTGTAGGCGTGCTTACTTTCATCATGTGAGTATTGCTTTCACAGCTTCCACCCTCTGAGTTCTCTTTAAATAGAAATATATTTGTGTTCTTTATAAAAGATCAGGCTTATGATTAAGAATGGTCTGCTACATTTGTATTTTTAATTTCAAGACTTTTTAGGTATTATTCTATTATATATTTCTTTTGCTAGTATGAAATCTTCCTCCTGATTTTTCAGGTTGAGCGGCAGGTCGGCTTTCATGGATAATGATCCTCAGGAGACTGAAGCCAGAATCCAGGCAGCAAAGTTTGACCTCTCTAAACTTTACCAGAATGTGTCCCAAAGTGCCTCTCTGTTTCTTAAAAAGATCCTCTGTAGCTACCCATGGTAAGCTGAATAATGGATTCTTCTCATTTTTGCCGTACTTTGAAAGTATTGCCAATTTGTAATATTTGGCTCCTTGTCATGCTCAACAGGGCCCGTCCATCCATCAAGGACTGCTTCAGCAACTCCTGGCTTCAAGATGCCTACTTGATGCGCCTTCGTAGGCAAACTCTTACCTTTACAACCACCCGTCTCAAGGAATTCTTGGCTGACCAGCAGCGCAGGCGAGCGGAGGTGGCAACCAAGCACAAAGTTCTCCTGCGGTCTTACCAGAGCTCGCCACAAACCCCCACTAGCCCTGCCACACCGAATGTGCCAGTATCACCCACTGCACCTGTCACCGAGTGAAAAGAACTCCCACACCATTGTGGCAGGACTTCGTGGTGGGAATGGGGGGCAAACATCCTCCAAGCGAGATAAAACTTGAGGCTACAGTGAGGTGGTCCCTCCAGGTCTGACTTGAACTTGATCAGAAGAAGAAAAACCCACAAAACCAGCAATGGCTGTGATCTACAGAAACATAATTTCTATTTCTAATCTGGTTCTAAAAGAGAATCTAATGCATTAAGGAACTCTCTGAAAGAGCCTGACTGCATTTTGTATACCGTGAACCTTGTTCATACAGGGCAGGCTGTTCTTTTCAAGCTAGTACCTCAAGGTTTGTAACTTTGCAAACATTTTTGAATTAATTCCTTTCTTACTGTTGGCTGAACATTGTAAAGAGAGGAAAAACAAATACAGTGTGGTCACCGGCCATAATTTAGTAGAAAACCTCATTTAATTCCTCAGCAAAAAGCTCTTAGCACAACTTTAAAATAAGGGATAATCTACACAATTAAAAGTACATATTGAAACAACTGACACCTTTGTCACTGGAGCACATCTAAAATAGTAGTCTATAGTTGATATTCTAATGTTTCCTGACCAGAATTTTTAATGCATTATCATCCCATGGCATCAGATAATGCTGTTTTTGTCAGATGCTGCCAGAATCTTCTCTCTGTTGCACAGAGGCAGGGATGGTATTGGCCACAGAGAGGTAGCAGTTGTGTTTCAGAGATATTAGATATTAGGATGGAGGTGTAGCAGTGGTAGGAGACCCAGGTTCACGTCAGATTGAAACTTTTGTGTTTACTACACGTTTTGGGGGTTTTTTGTTGTTTTTTTTTCATTTGCTGATTTGTTTTGGGTGTGGTGGTGGAGTGGGTAGCACTGTCCCCTCACAGCAAGAACATTCAAACTTCCTTGTCTTTGACTTTCTCTGTGGAATTCCCATCTTCGCCATGTTCCTGCATGGGTTGACTTGGCTATTTTAAGTGTGTTACAGTAGTAGATGTGAGAGTGTGTGCCACAAACCCACGTTGGATAAACACTAAAAAAGAGGGATGGCTGAATTTTCTGGTTAAGTTTAGTTTAGGAGTAAGAAAAATGACTGGCAAGGTGGAGCTGTGGTTAGCATGGTTGTTCACAGCAACAAGGTTCTGAGTCTGAATCTGCCATCATTCTATGTGGACTTTGTGTGTTCTGCCTGAGCCTGTTTGGGGTTTCTCTGGGTACCCCTGCAGATGTTTCTTCCCACAGGCCAAAATAAGTAGTTAAGAAAATGGATGGGTGATGGGTAAAATATACATAACATTTACCCTGGATGTCAAAAAATGAGTTCGGAGTGTCAGTCCTGTCTCATAAAGGCCACAGTCCAGAGTATCAGGGCACAGATGATGAACAATGCCTTGTGTGTGACCCAGCGATGTCTGCAGCTTTGACAAAACAGCATTAATGAAAGCCAAGGTAAGGAGAGAGGGTTGTAAATGCACTGAATTATGTCTAATTCTGTGTCCTTGATTTAAACAAAAGTCACTCTCCAAACCCACAAACGAGTTTAGGGAATTGTAGTGGTATGATTGTGCTGTTGGCACTTCAGTGATTTTAAAGACTGTAGCAGTTCCAGAAAGTTTTTGTTTGTTTGTTTGTTTTTAAAAATATGTACTGAGTTAAGAGGAAACTCTGGTGGCTTCTCTACAAGGGCTATTAGAATAGGACACTTGTCTGCATTTTTCCCCTTTCCTTGTGTTCTTAGACAGCACGGTAATGATGATCTCATTCTCAAAAGCAGAATTTACTTTTTAAATTTCTTATCCCGTTGTCATCTTTGAGCTTCCATATGAAACTGTTTTCCTCCCAGTGATAATGTGGACAGTTTTGCAGGGCAAATAGGCATTAGTTTCTTCACCACAGATAAGCTGTCATTGGCTTAAAGTAAACTCTTTTACTCAAACCGCAACGAGATACCTAAGCCACAAAGAGATACTCATATCTGAGTTTTACAAAACAACTTTCGACATGTGTAATGAAGTTTTACTAACATCAAAAACACTTAATCACATCTGAAAAAATTCAGGGGATGAAAGGGAAACTGAAGCATTTTAGGAACCCACCGGGGTATCACGGTCCCCCAAAGTGCCCTTGAAGAGCATTAATCAGCAAAAAATAAAAATTAAATAATAGACGTTACTGAGTGTATTAGTCCTTATTTTAGTGTTTTTAATTACCAACAGCTACTGCTTTGAGAAAGCAGCTTGCTTCATTGTTTTTAAAGAATGTAGGCTTAACTGGCAAAACCTTTTTTTTAATATATAAAAAGACATAAAATCGTTATAATTAGCATTAAGCTGACCCTAAATTATGTATAGCCTCAATTATATGTTTCCATGCTATACAAGCATACAAGACACCATAAGCACTAATAGCATAAATTCATCATATGAGCCCCTGAAGACCATAATAAACATCGGATCACAAGAAGTAAAACCTTTGGAAAATCTAGTGGTTCTCAAGATGTGGGGCAGGCCCCAATTATGGGGCTTAGAGCCACTGCAGGTGGCTTTATACAATATGGAGTGAAACTAAGTTGAATCAATATTATTTATGAAAAAAAATGAAAGAGTTTGCAGATACAACTGTGCATCTACTCTACTCACTCATTTATTTCATTGAAGTTGAAATAATTGAAATGTAAACTTTCTCAAGTGGGGCATGCCAGAAAAAGTTGTCTATAAAAGATATATTTAAGTATGGATATCCATAAATATGCAGATCTAAATATATGTTTTAAATATAATATACACAGTAAATTATGAAAACCAGGCTCTGTAACTGCTTTATTTTCAGAGAAAAAAATATAATAATATTCCAAACATTTGTTTGGAATCTGTCCTCTTAGAGTCAGCACATTGGCTCTAGCACTAAACTGAACACAGATTCTATCATTTTATGGCACATCAAAGGCTAATTTGCTTTTTTATAATATATGCTTTCCCCTTTGGGGGTAAACTAAGTTTTCAGACCAGAACATTTGATTTTTGATGCTGTTGCTTTCATACGTACTGATATCAAGCACAGATTTGCTCACTTAACTCAAAGTGTAACACTTATGAGAGTTTAGATCCATTTGTGGACAGTTTTTCGGGTGTTTAAAAGCTGCTTCATACATAAAATCATGAGTTGTTTTACTGTGTATTAACTGACAAGTAGTTGGTAATTCTATGAAATTATTTCACTATTGCTTTATTGTCTAATGCTATTGCTAGATAAATACTGCCCTTCTGCAGCTCTTGTCTTCTTTGGCTCCTTTTCCTATGCAGAGTATAATCACTAAGGAAATTGTTTCAAACCTGAATGAAAACATGCAAGTCCTGCATGAAATGCAACGTTGCATTAAATCCTAAATGTCTGTGCAATTTATAATAACTTTATTTGTTCATCTTTTAAATGAAATGACAGCTGTTTGTAAGCAGACGACACAAGAGCGCTCTACATTTTGTATTAAAATTTTGTGGAATGTGTTGCAGTGCCTCGTGACAGATATTAGACTCACAGAGATTGTAGTTTGTCAAAAAGAATGACTATTTCTTTATTTTGATAATATGACTGTGGCCGCTTTGTGTGCGTGTGTCTTTTGCAAATTGTTTATTTATTGAGTGACTGTATTTGTTACGGCTTCTGCTTTTTATCTGTGAAACATTTGAATCTGGCATGGAAATGGCATGACAGTTGTTAAGATTAAGAACAATAAAGGAAATGTGACAAATATAAGGGAAAACTTGCCATCTTCTTGGCTGAAAACTGCATGTACGACCATGCTGAAAATGGTATACACATCACGGCTGATCCATAAAGAATTACTGAGTGTGGTAAGTCCAACCTTACACCACTCCATCTGCATCACCCTGAAGACCAACAACTATGTGCTTATTTTCACCCTGGGGAGATCCATATTCCAGAATACTCCCTCTACTATAACTAAACTATGAACTGCTTCAGTGATTCTCACGAGTATTTGATTTCTATATGAAGATGGGAAAATATCTTTGGAACATATGTTGCGCATCTTCAATCAATCTCATCATGTGTAGTAACCAAAGGAGAATGAATGACTGTATGACACAATACTTACTGCTTATAAAGCATCAGATTTCTTAGGTTTGCTGACTCTGTAGTGGATCTGAAGCTGTGTGTATCTTTGACAGGATCTCCAAGGTAAGAAGAGAGGGAATAAGCTATAAAGAAATGCTGCAAGAGAAATTTCCGGTCAGACTAGTTTGGAAATTGTTAAATAAATGTTTACTATCTCTTTCCGCTGCAGATGTCCAAAGCTGAGACTTCACCCCCTCCAGGGTGCAATACTTAATTATTATTAATATTATTATTAGGCATTATATCGCGGACACAGGTAAGAGAATCTTTAATTCTTGTTGGTGTCACTGACAATCAAGGAGGTTTTGAGGCATAAGAAATGTTTAAGATGCTTGTTTGCTGGATTTTTTTACCCCTTAAGAACCGACAGTGCAACAACATATTCACTGGATGGACTGACTTGTCTCATGAAGTCTACATTGCACCAGAAACACCTTCAAGAGATTGTACCTATGTCCTCAAACCTTTTAGACTCACTGAACTTATAACTTATTACTTGTTATAAATGCCTATATTTCTCATCTAGGTCACATAAAGAGCGGCAAGAGAAAGGCCCTCCTAAGATCCTGCAAGACCTCAGAGATGTGGTCCTTGTTGAAGGCAGCACAGCAAAGCTGAAGTGTAGTGTTAGCGCTTTCCCGGACCCTTTCATTGTCTGGTACAAGGATGGCAGGATGGTAAAGGATTGAAGGTTGGTCCCAAGTACTGCTATGTTTTTGAAGACCCTGATGTATTGGCACTTGTGGTCTGGTTATGATTATAAGATTTTTTTTTTTTTAATTTTCTTGATTATGACATGAAGAATTTTTAAAATAATCACTGATGAGAACTTTGCCCCACATGTCAGATACAAAGGTTTACTCTTGCTGATTAATGTAGAATCATGTGGTTCACAGAGTTAATCTGTCCCAGTTCCTGCTAAGAATTCTAAAGACCCAGATAACATCAAGACCAAGAGAGGGACAACAGTGGTACTCAAGGCTGAAATAAGCAGACAGCCTCCTCCAGTCGTTGTCTGGCTCAAAGTAGTTGCTAGCAGATTTCTGCACTTGCACATAGTTTGCATGGAAGACAATGACTTGTCTTCAAACACTCGCCAAGTTCTCGCAGAGTATTAGTGAAAATGTGAAAAATGTGACACAAACTGGAAACAGAGACCATCCGCCTTCAAGTAAAGTTGGGCCATTTGAAACATGTTGGCTGAAAAGGTGAGACACAACTTTTACTTTGAAGGTCTTCTGCTAAAATGATCACAGGGAAGTGTTTACCTCTATGACCAGTTTTACCTAATAACACCCAGTAACCATTCGCCAATCAGATGGTAAGTACATATTTTTTCCCTAGCAACTAGAGATTTCCAGGTGGTTGCCAAATGGTCTCTGGGCCCATGTGACTGAGATTGCAGTTTTTCCACTAGCATCCAATCACTTCATTAGTCTATTCAATATAAATACTCCCATTCCCCTCTATGTGTTGCCAGGTTGTCTTGTTTCTATTTCTATCCAGCAATTTCTTGCATTCACTTAATTTCCTTTTTATTAATAACTTGAATGCCTCCATGAAAGCGCATTTATTTGCTTTTGCCTTTCATTAAAGATCTGACCTTTGGAATTGACCAAAGACGGGACTTTATGAGCATTTGGGTCCTTGTGTGTTCCCTCAAACCATTAT